ACGGCGTGCACTTTTTCGACATCGCAACTTCTAAAAGTGGTCCGAAGCTGGTGTGCTTTGTACATTTTGATTTTAAAATGTGCTTCGTGCCACAATGGCGTGCACTTTTTTCGACTTCTCTTCTCTGATCTTCTCTCTTCTACTCTACTCTGATCTTCTCTCTTCTACTCTTCTCTTCTCTCTGACTCTTCCCATCTCTGCTTTTCATCTGTCCATATTGTCAGAAGTTTGACTTCTAAACTCCCTTCGATTAGGGTTTGTGGTAATCATAGCTAGATGTGGTAGGGGACAACACCTTGTATGGAAGAATAATGGGATAATCATGGCTAATAGTGATGGTATAATAGTATATAATAGTGGGATATCTCGGCGATGGGAATGACGCGACCTAAGTTCTCATCCAAAATGTGGCTTGGGGTACCCCAAATTTTGGGAAATCAATTTTGGGCAACACAATAAGCTACCAACCAAAGATGGGAAAATTCAGGAATCTAATCTGGAGGTACCTAACACGTCTGAATATATGCGGCCTATATGGGATATAAGGAAAAAAAAGTCCCCATATTGTCCCCCAAGCTATGGATTGAAATATGGTCCTGTACCTCTAGGTACCTGCGTGGCCCATTAATGAAGCAGTTCAGAACTCACCGAACTCACCGCACAATGGGCATTCTCAATCCCCCCCTTGGAGAGATGTAAGATGCTTTGAGGGATTTTTTTCGAGTTTAAGTGCTTCAAATTGCAAGCTTCAAATTGCAAGCTAACTAGTTCCTAGTACCATGATTGATCCAAAAGGGGCTGCAAACTACATATGATATAGATTGATATAGAACACACATGTGGGATTGCACATTGTTGCATCCTGCCCCACACAAGCGTATTGTCTACCGAAATGTCTGAAATTATCATCCCCATCCATACCCCTGTGCGAGACATGAGAAAACTAGGGGCTTCCCGCAAAAAGTTTCCTTCAATTACTTTACTTCGAGTTATCCCCACCATGACATCTATACGTTTTGTTACTGGCAAATCTTCTGGCATTCTATCTGGTATATCTTCTGGCATTCTACCTGGCATATCTTCTGGCCTTCTACCTGGCATATCTTCTGCAATATGTTCTGGCATATCTTCTGGCACTCTATCTGGCATATCTTCTGGCATATCTTCTGACATTTTTTCTGGCATTCTATAGGCAAATCTTCTGGCGTTCTATCTGGCAAACATTCTGGCACTTTATCTGGCATACCTTCTGGCATTCTATCTGACATTCTATCTGGCATACCTTCTGGCATTCTATCTGGCATATCTTCTGGCATTCTGTCTGGCAAACATTCTGGCACTTTATCTGGCATATCTTCTGGCATTCTTTCTGACATTCTATCTGGCGTTCTTTCTGGCATATCTTCTGGCATTCTATCTGGTCGTTGAGGTCCAGCGGTGCTCACTGAGCTCGGAGGGTCCCAGGTTGAGGTCCAGCGGTGCTCACTGAGCTCGGAGGGTCCCAGGTTGAGGTCCAGCGGTGCTCACTGAGCTCGGACGGTCCTGAGCGCGGAAGGTCCCAGGTTGAGGTCCAGCGGTGCCCAGTGCGCTCAGACCCTTGCAGTTGAGGTCCAGCAGTGCCCACTGCGTGCGGAAGTTAGTTGGCAAGGCGGAAGTGAACATGGGAGTGGATGCAAAGGTGGTGGAGGAGAAGCTGGAGGAGAGGGAGGAGGAGGAGGAGAAGGAGGTGGAGGATGAGGAGGAGGAGGCGGAGGAGGAGAACAACTGTGATAAAATCTAACAACCCTCACCTGGCAGGTGGGGAAATCCACGCTTAAAAAATCCATCCAGTGAGCATGATTTGTACCGGGCAAATCCATGTATTAAAACGCCCACCGGGGCACCATTGTCCCTGGGGATATGTCTTAAGTAACCGCTAATCGACATTTTTGTAGATCTTCAAGTCAAATCCCAAAAAATCTGTCAACAAAAATCGCGCACCAAGATCTGCGAACGTCCAGATGGATTTATCTTCGCTGGGGACACGGCGCAAACCATCTCCAAAGGCTGATTCCCCGGGAATTTCCTAAGGAGTTGGAGACAAGACAGCCATACGATGTACTGTATATCTATAATATATATATATATGTGTGTGCGTGTATATATATATATATACAATACTATACCCTGGGTATCTGGGTAAACTAACATAGATTTGGAAAACCCATAGTTTCACCAGGAAAATAGTCTACAAATGGTTGATTTTCCACTTTTGTGTTTTTTACCCTTATAATGTTTATGTTTGTTCACTTTTGGTAGCTGAATACTCGTTATGTAACCATATGTTAAAATCATACCGAGAATCCATGATGAACCTGTGATGGTCTATTTTCAAGTTGGATTGCCCCAAGATGAGGGGTTTGAAACCTGATGCAAATAAATGATATGACCATGCCAAAGATCGGAGGACAAAAGCCCAATGATGCCCAATGTTCATTAGTTGTTGTTGCTTGGGTTGGTTTCCGTCAAAGAGGACCTTTCTGGCATTTATGGCCCCATTTTGGTGGACTGTAATCCGCAGTAGTGTTGGCTATACGTGCATATCTACACATTTTTTCAGCTTCAGTCACAATTTAGACTCATGAATCTATTCTACCATTTCTACCTTGGTTACTCCTGGAGCTGAAGCTGATGCGTCCATTGAGGTCTCCATTTTGGACAATTTTCCACGGGGAGGGAGGTATCCCAAACACGGGAGCGACGTAGGCGTTGAGTTCCGCTTTGAATCCATTCGACGTCTCTTCTTTGAGGAGCTGCTGGCCTTGAAAAGGTGACGCCCTGGGAACTGGTCATGTTAACTGTAAACCAAACAGCAAATGGAGATTGCATGGGATTTTCATGGAGGTTTAATGGGTGTTTAATGATGATTGAATGGGTTTTCACGGGGATTTATTGAGTTTAGCAAGATTTAACGGGATTAGTTTGTTAAGCATCTAAAATTATGTGGCCAACCCAATGCCATGAACCATTCCCAAGTTTACCAGACATGCATGGTAGAAACCATTTCGAGGCTAGTATTGGGTTTACCGCATTGTTTATGAGGATAAACGGCCATTCAAAAATTGCCTTATATCATGGCCAATAACCATAAAACAACTGTAAATGTCATTGATCATTATTTTCATCATGGTTTGACCATTTCAACCAACCACGAGCTGTTATCTGACGAAGATTCAGCCCTCATTTTTGTTGGCTCAAAGAACGCAACATATGGGGATACAAACGGATATAATTGACAATGTTGATGTTGCTTGATAAATACACGAATTATATTACTCATAGTGTCTCATAGTTACGTTGGAATATGGATTATGCGAACCTTCATACACCGACCAGTTTCATGCGTTTTGTCCCCAACAAATCGACCAAATCTGAACTCCGAGCAATGCCCAGTTGCAACTCAAAGCAGGGATCTAGTTGACTAATGTTAACAAACATGGAAAACTGCGATGAATCAGTTAAAGGAAAAAACTGAAAGTGACTAACTAAGCGAGCCGTTTCCAGTTGACTTGTGTTGGTTGATCTTATTTTGGGTTAATGATATTAAAGTAGCTGGTTCAATGGAGATGATGACCCCCAATGACCAGTACGATCAGGCCCATGGCCAGCAGAAGTTAATGGTGATAGGCTGAAGCCAACACGGGATGATACCCAGGGCTGGTTGATTGGCGATACCCGATTTTAGTATCGAAAAGTCATCGTAAGCAGTTGAGGTGAAATCAATTGAACATTAATTGAACATCAATGGGGTGTCCATAGTCATGGGAATACCCCCATGGTTTATAATGGAAAATCCATCTTTACAAATGGATGATTTGGAGGTACCCTATTTCAGGAACCTCCATTTCAAGGATCTTTTCCCTTTTTGGATGTTCCGTGAATCACGCAGACGGCCAGGCAAGAAGGTAGAAAAGGACATACACACAAACGTACATACTTGAGATGCATTCATACGGACAAAAACAATCAGAATCCCTCAATGTTCAAGCGGATCAAGGTCACTCCTCCATATATTTGCCATATACATCTCCCATGATGCATATCAATGGAACTTCCACCATATCATACAGTACTGTATCATGATATGTCCCATGATATGTCCACTCTTCTCGGCAATCCGAGGTTCTGCGGGGGCCGTGAGGTTGAAGTGGAGAAAGTGAACATCAAGGTGCAGACCTGTTCAATGTGCAACTCGCCAGCAGAGCTTTGATATGGGCTTTGTCTGAGAATAGGGGACCTCTAAACCCATGGTTAATCACCATCATATATACCATTGTTCCTCTTAAAACTGCTATTTAAGGGCGTACCCAATTTTCAGACACACTCATACCTTACGTTACATTATGAAAAAAGCCCTTCGGGACTCAAACATGGCTGGGAAATCCGGTAAAAATGGAGGTTTGAAAAAAAAACAAATCTATGCAAAATTTATAAATGGAGGAACTTCCTTTGCCATATTTGGTTGCCGTAGAGTCATGTTCGAATGGCCTGGATGGCAGTGTGCATGATAACTAAGTGTATCACTGAGTGTCCGGAATTCTCTTCACTATCCATCAGCAGCCCCTATGTAGCTTGCAAGATGTGTATATATATATATATAAGACAACTGCCTGGGTTTTGCCCCGAACCGCAACGACGACGGGCAACGCATCATCATCATCACCATCACCATCACCATCATCATCATCATCATCATCATAATCATCTTCATCTTCATCATCATCGTCGTCGTCGTCATCAATTGAACGCACAGTAGATTTTAATATTCCCAAAATACCTTTGTTGATCTTCCCAATTGAACGTGAAGTTTAACGGGGGTGGGATTTCAATATTCCCTGCTACCTTTGTTGATCTTCCCAATTGAATGTAAAGTTTCAAGGGGGTGGGATTTTAATTTTCTCTAATACCTTTGTTGATCTTCCCAATGGAATTTAGGATTTAACGGGGGGTCGGATTCTCATATTCCCGAATACTTTTGTGGATCTTCCCAATTGAATGTAAAGTTGCAACAACATTTGATTGGGAATGGGCACCCTCTACGCTGCAACGCTGGGGCAAAGCCCAGGGTTGTGTTTTTAAGTTCGGATTTCATTTCAACTTTGCATCCATATGCAGGACAATTAATTGATAGGTGCCTCAACCACGGGTGGATGCTGTCAGGATCTTCTAACTTCCCAGGGCACCACCTCAGAGGGACTGAGAGAATCCAGAGATGGGGCCTTTCTCAGCGCCAGATGATACCAAATGCTCCGAACCCTTGGTTTTTTTTAGGGGAAAATTGTAGAGATTGAACCACTGGTGCCATGAAAAAAAACCTTAAGGGGTGTCCATGGCTTCCTTTGGGAGACGGAGGTCACAATGAGATTCGGAATGGCGGCAAACACTACATCTGCAATGGGAAGCTCCTCGTTCAGAACAGCGACTGAGAAACCATTGGGATGGGATGGGATTCCAAATTTTGAGACAACCCCATGTGTTTTCTTGGAGTTGATGTGAATCAGACTGAAAGTGGATCAGGATGAAAGTGGATCGGGATGGTGTAAGTTGAACATGTTCGCTCGTTTGGACCAGGTTCACATGTCCCTTGGCTGTCAGGTACCATGAATTTTACGTCTGCAACCAAGACAAGTGCGAAAAGGAGTTTGAAAAGCAATCCGAGGCCACCTAGCTAGACCTAGCTGGCCCAGCTCGGACCGCTAGCTTTCAGTAAGGCTTGTACAGGTTGACCACCATCCAGACAACGTTCCCATGGGGGATGATGAGACATGGTTTGCTGCAGATGTTCCCTTCAATCGGTTGGAACATCATTTGTGCTCAAATCGCCTATTTTGTTGCTTAAAGCCCTTTTTTGTTCACCATTCTTGCTGGTCATTTTGTTCTTGGTTAGCTCACCATTGTTTGGCAAAATCCCAGCATTGCCAGGCCGTCCGTCTCCATGGCAAGGGGACCGGGCTTCAAAAGCGGCTGGCCGCCAGCTCCGGGAAGATCGTGTGTTTTCACTACATGCCTGGCGTTGGGGTACCCAGAGTGAAGTGGAACCATTGGGCAGGCTGGATTGAGTGACCATGAGTTAGTCGACTTGGCGCTGTGAAATGAAGACGTAGTAGATTGCGGCGTCATGAAACGTTTATAGCTGGGGAACATTTGTAAATTGGATTAAATGGGGAATTTTCCATTGCCATGTTTGATTACCGGAGATAAATACATGGGGGTTTCCCAACATTTGGATGGCTCAAAAAGGAGAACATGAGCAAACTTGGACGATTTTGCCTTTCCCATTATGTGAGAGTTCCATGAGCAAGCTTTAGATCATTGGTGCCACATACCTGCTCTGAAAGCATTGGTTTATTCTTCTCTGTCCGCCGTTGACCTATGCCATATATCTAAAAACAAATCCCATGCCGGTGATTCCCATTTTAAGGAGCCTCAAATGAATAGGTCCACTGCTAAGCCAGGCTTTCTGGCAGCTGGGCTGGTGCTTTAAGATATGTTGCAATGTTTTCCCCCATATCTATTTGGACCGGTTTCCAATTATGGTCTTCTTTTTGGAGGGGAAGGGGGCAGGGGTGTTGAAATCACAAACCCCTATGGATCCAAACACCTCCTGAGAAGGTACTTGACCTTCTAAATCACTTCAAATCAAACCCGAAACACTTCCCAAGAAGGTCTAAGAAATCTAAGAAGATACTTGGATCTATAGGGAACCACTATTTGCCAGCTTAAATCTCCTTAAGCAACCATTTGCATCCACTCAACTTACCTCCGGATCCTCCGGATGTTTGCCAGACCGGTCATTGCGGTTTGATGTTCAACATAGTGGAGACGGTGCCGCCTCTGCCCAGTCAGGCAGCCGGCGTCTGAGGGAGTTTGGGGCCTAAACACCTCAGAGGGTACTTGGCGCATTAGGGATAATCACCTACAATCCTATAACCAAGAAACTCTTAGTTTATTCTTGGGTTTGTTCACTCTAGGGGCTTCATTGGGGTATTTAATGCTAAGGGGATGGGATTATTTGAACACGACTGCAATTCCTGGGTATGATTTTCCAGTCAAGCTGTGCCATTGCTGGGGGGGGTATGATCCATTGGCGGCAGAGAGCATCAGGGCAGCACTTTTGAGATGATGCCTGAAGTTGGTCGACTAGTGGGCTCTACCCATACATTTCTCGGCCAGCCAGGAGATGCAGCCAGATCTGCAGCAGAACATGAGTGGCCAGATCAATCAGTTGGCGCAGGTCCCCGCCATCACGTGTTTGTCGCAGAACCACAGGACGGGACAGGGGGCGCTGTGCTGCTGGATTTCTAGATTTCTCGATTTGTGGCAAATCACGGGTGAACAATGGTAGGGTCAGTATATACAATTATATCCATACACAACTAACACACACAAAGAAACAAACAAAGAAACAAACAAAGAAACAAACAAAGAAACAAACAAACCAACAAACAAACCAACAAACCAGCCAACCAAACAACCAACCCAGCCAACCCAACCAACCGAACCAACCCATCCAACCCAACCCAGCCAACCCAACCAACCCACCCAACCCAACCAACCCAACCAACCCAACCAACCCAACCAACCCAACCAACCCAACCAACCCAACCAACCCAACCAACCCAACCAACCCAACCAACCCAACCAACCCAACCAACCCAACCAACCCAACCAACCCAACCAACCCAACCAACCCAACCAACCCAACCAACCCAACCAACCCAACCAACCCAACCAACCCAACCAACCCAACCAACCCAACCAACCCAACCAACCCAACCAACCCAACCAACCCAACCAACCCAACCAACCCAACCAACCCAACCAACCCAACCAACCCAACCAACCCAACCAACCCAACCAACCCAACCAACCAAGCGACCCAACCAACCCAACCAACCCAGCCAACCCACCCAACCAACTAACTACCTATATAATATTATATAATCCTATATATATATATTTATATGTACACATTTTATTATATAACATAAAATAATTTAATATAAAAAAAATAATGCAATATAATATAATATACACTCACATGCAGGTATATCCACATTATATCATATACTGGAGCTATTTCACTGGCCCATCTTACCCTGCTGAACTCACAGGCGGTTTCACCGGGCAGAAAAGCCATGCAGGAGCACCAACAGTATCTTGGAGCTGGCCGCCAGCATTTTGGATCTCATCACTCACTTCTTCCCTGAAAAATTGGACAAACTGCCCAAGGAAACTTCCCGAGTGACGCCTGGCAGCTGGTGCAGGGGGTTGGAGCTCCAAAACAGGTTGGCACAGGTTGATAAAACTTTCAGTGCTGTTGGGTTCATTCCAGCTATAAATTTGATCATCATTGATTATCATAAAATCGGCAAAGCTTTAGGATTGTTAGGGGTATCAAGCAGGAAGTTTATTCGAAGCAACTCGTTTTGGGCATGGCGGGATGCCTGAGGAAGAGCAGTACGCCACCAGTGATCTTGAACCGAATGTGCCCTGGCAATGAGCAGAACCGGCTGTGTCAAAGAATGGGCAGAAAAAATGAAGAGCAACTCATCATCACTATATCTGATTTTATGATTAGAATGGGCATAAAAACAGAATCACTTTTATCGTAATGTTTTACCACCTTTAAAGATGTTTATGCTTTTATATTTGATTCTATATGAGGGCAACGCGTGCAGCCTTCCAACGACCATCCATATGTGGCCCAATTGATGTACTTCAAGTGCCAAGGAGGACAGTTTCACACGGAAATCTACCATATGCGGAATATGTGGGGTTCTATTTGGCTCTTGTAATGCTCTTGTATTAACTTGCAATCATTGATGCAATCCTTCCCCCTTAAAAGAACATATTCACCAGAAGCCCCTGGTAAGTATAGTACTGGCGCTATTCGTTTTGGGGTGGTGATGTGGGCGGTAGTTCAAATTATTTATCATTCCCATCTCAGGATGGTTAGATCATGTTAAACTCTTGATTGCAAAAACACAATCTCCGGAGATGAGATTTCCATCAAATTCCTATTGCATCACCATCTTGGTTGGTGATATGCCCCATTGCATTCCCTAATTAACATCTATCAACCATTATTTACCATTATATATACCATTATCAGCCATTATCAACCCATATGGTCATGGCAAAAAGAAACAAGGGTTCAGTACTAAGAATGCATAAGGCTTATGATTCACCTTGATCGCCCTGTGGTAATTTAACATACCAGTGGAAAATTGCCCTTTATATATTTATAGCCTACTTTACCATAATCTACCTTTTAAACTATCAATCATGATGATGTTACATCGTTATATGTAGCATAGTAGATTACCAAAAAGGTACATAAGCATATAGAATCATATATATATATATATGTAGATTCCATAGCTATAGCCATACATATGTAGCTATTCATAGCCATTTAAACTACATATATATAATATATATGTATATACATATTCATCATATTACATAGCCATTTATATATATATATTACATTAACGTTAACGGTAGCATGAAGTCAACCCTGAAGCCCACCTCCGTTTTTGCGCGCCATTCCGTTGCGCCGTTCCGTGCCGTTCTCAGGTCCTGGGAGGAGGCACAGAAGATCATCTTCGCCAGGGAATCCTCGGAGAACCTTGGGGCGACAAAAACGGATCAATGTTGGTGAATAAAAGTACTTGATTACAGTATAGACGATGATTATTTTAGTATAGTGTATATATATATATGTATTATAGTACTTGGTTGTTTATATACCTGGTTGGTGGTTTGGAACATTTTGTTTTCCCATATATTGGGAAGAATAATCCCAAGTGACTAATATTTTTCAGAGGGGTTGAAACCACCAACCAGATATACTATTGTACTATACATTGATGGTGAATTTTGATAGCTTTGGTGGTGAATGAAAATACGATATAAAAATTATCTATAATATTATATAATGGTGAATAATAGACAACATAATGGGTCAACAATAGTTCAAATAGATTGAAGTAGCCTATACTAACCAATAGCCTATCAACAATAATAGTTATCATTGTTTTAATTATCAATGATTGATTGTGCCTACCAATAATAAGGGAATAGCCTATCAATAGATAGATGGCTAATATACAATATAATGGTGAATAATATTTAATGTGAATAATAGACAATACAATGGTGAATTAAAAACATGATGGGTGAATGTGAAATTTATCATGTGTACAGATAGACGATGTTCCCATTAAAACCCGCATTGATAGCCGATTTCCCAGCTATGAACCTGAATTTATAGATGATTTTCCTATTAAGAGCCACCATTGATAGAAGTGTTATGTCATTAAAATATATTAAAACTAGTCGCATACAATGGGATATTGATTGTTTTTTTGGGGGATTATGCAAGGGTTATGTTTTAAAGTGTTTACTGAGATATAATTAGATATAATTAGCCAACTTGATAGTATATGAATCCCCTCCCTTGTTCACATTAAACACCCCCAAATTATGGCCCCAAAAAAATATGTGCCAAATCATCACCTATATTTTACCACCATTTCTGTGGTGTGTTTCATATGAGCGGTGGATGTTATTTTTTTGGGGGGTCCCAAAAAACAGATCGGGAGTTTGGATTTGCTGGGATTTTGTTTGGTCGGCTTTGTGACATTGTTTTCGAGGCTGGATTGTTGTCCACGATGCCTTTAAGATATTTGTTCCCCCTCATTGTCATGTCCAGTTTTCCCCTTAACTTTTCTATCTATTCGAGAGTGACTATTATAATCATTTTGATATATATATATATGTGTGTGTGTGTAGAACGATAGAACCACCATGAACTTAGGATGCAATGCTCGGATGTTTGCCGACAGAACATGGTTGTCTCAAGTCCCAGGGTCAGCAACACCCAGAGGTAGACGGTTGGAACCAATTCGAGTGGCACCCCAAAGTTTGATGAACTTGTTTTTTTTCGGAAAACAAAAGCCAACATCTTGGGGTCAGAATCCAATTTTCAGACAAAGCTTGAACGCCGCCGCACTTGTTTGCGTTCAGGAATGCGGTTCTGGAGTTTGGTGCCAAGCAAGTGGTACTCGTTTGGTCCGAGGAGAGGTCCAGCCAGAGATGCGGTGCTCGTGTGGTGCAATTGAACTTGTTTTTTTGTTGGCAGACACCATGATCAACCATCCCCCAATGGGCTTTTCCTGGACTGGACATTGCCCTTGGATGCTTAAAATGAGAGCGAGATCACCCAAGGGAGTGCCAGGGAGCCCGATTTTCCCAGGAGAAGAAGCGGGAGATGAAGCAGAAACTGACCCAATCACTGGTGATGACCATCAACGAATGTAAGGGTTGCGGCCTCAGGTCTCAGCCGTTGGCACTGTTGGAGGGGGTGAATGCGATTTTTTGATATTTTTTGAAGGGAATCCGAACAGTGATGAAAAGCAGAAAAAAATGGGGAAGGTCCAGTTGGAACAAAAGATGCGATTTGGGTAAAGATTGTTGGTCAAAAGTTGAAAGTGTTTCAAGCGACTTCATATGACTTCATCATAGACGGTGACCCAGAGGGAAATTCACAAAATGTGATGGCCTGGTGACACAGAAAAAACATATAGATCGTGCCATGCTTGCTGCATCCTTCACCAAGTGGCCAAATACCATACCCGGTCATGAGGTTGAGCATGATCTGAAGCCTTGCCATGGTTGTTTTCCCATCAAAAGGATGGTGATCCCCCCCACACATAGGCTGTTTTTATTTCTCATCAATAAGGATTCCCATCATGGTTGATCATTACCCTGAATGGATTGGTTAAAGCGAAAACCTACAGGAAACCATCGATTTTCCCATGAAATATGGTGTTTTCCCGTCAATTTTCGCTTAAACCAATCCATTGATACCCCGGATATCATATACATATTACCAATTCATACCATTCTTATGGATACCCCCTGGACACAGAACATTTGCCATGCGACCAGGCCTTGAATTCTTCGACGTCTTGCTGGTGGATCCCTTCTCGGACATGAGTGGATCCACCAAGAAGGAGTCACAGGCACTGGTGGATGGCATACTTAGTGCCATTTAAAAAAAAACATAGTATATATTAAATGTATAGCTTTTGCAAGTTTATTTATATATATATACATATTTATATACATATATATATATATACATATATATATATACATATATATATATACATATACATATATACACATATATATACACATATATATATACATATATATATATATATACATATATATACATATATATATATATACATATACATATGTATATATACATATACATATATACATTATCATTTGATACAATTTATGTTGATAGTTTAATTCTACATGATATACTGTTTGTATGTGGGCCCATTGGTGCATTTGGTGCCCCGTTGGTCGCATCGCTGTTAGGCAACTGAAAACTGGAACCTCATCTATGGGGTTTTTGAAAAGTTCCAGTTGAAGGCCTCTGCGATGGGGAATTTTGGGGAAGGAGAGCCCTCAAGGGGAAGGGAAAATACTGGGGGGCTTGAGATTCTACAAGGCTCGGTTGAAGCTTTTCGTTGCAGTGTACAATCACAACTTGCTTGGCCATGTTGGTTCAACTAAAAGGTTCGTCATTGGATTTCCAGCCGTGCAGGTGGTTCAAAAACCAAGGTGAACTTTGATGTTTGCTGGAGGTGACTTTTGCTAACCACCCATGACTTTCAGTTCTCACCATCATTCCGGTCAGTTGCCAATTCTCAAACTCACACAAAATGGCTCATGTTTTCCGATTTCCACCAACACATCCGCCATCAAGTACCTCACCATGCCTCACCACAGGTGTCGCAAGGCGAAAAGAAGAGAGCTTCTACCTTCATCGAGGACAAGCACGGCCTTCTTTGCAGCTGGCTGAAGACGCTGTACGTGGGGGTGACGCGTGCCCGAAAGCGTGTGACATGGCGTGGTGTTTTGGTGGGGATGGAGATGATTCGGAGAGGTTGGACCGGTTTCTTGGGCGTAGGAAACGTGGGAAGGACACAAGATGCACAATGTGCCAACATGTCGATGCTAAACAGTGATTCTATATGACAGTATTGGCATCAATTCATATCAATTTGGCATCTCCTGGCCATAAAGGCTCAGAAAATGGAGCCTGATAAGGCCTGGAATGTGACTTTTCCAACAGTATACATTACAGTACTTGTCAGGTTCTATGCAGGATTGATGGTGCACACGCCCACCGTATTCCACATCTCTCTGTGCACACGCCCCCCCGTATCCCACATGTGTCTGTCCAACTTGTTTTGGTTGTTCTTCACCTGTGAAACCCATTTACCCATTGTGTGTCCACCTTAATCCCGTTGGATCCTTCGAATCCATTGGTTGGTGACATGTCTCAAGAGCGCTGGATGGTTTCCATAGTCATGTGGATACCCCAATCGCTGGATGGTGTATTCCATGGAAAATCCATCTATAAAATTCTTCAAATGGATAATGACTGGGGGCACCCCTATTTTAGGAAACCACCATTTGGCCCCAAAAACCGAAGGTTTGGATCTTGGAAAGTGAAGATTCAGGACAAGCTTTGGTCGGTGCCTTGCCTCTCAATGGGATGATCGGAACTGTTTCGATCATGGCTTTGTTCTCACCTAACCATACAGACAATGTCTGCTGGAATCTGGCTGGATATTACTGTATAGTATTTTATAGTATTGTTTGATGTTGTTTTATGTTGTTTGGTTTGTGGTCTTTTTCCAGGCTTATCAGGTGATGTTTTGGGCAAACAATAGCTCGATGATGATGGATGTACCACTATGACACTGGGAGTGCATTAGGTTCATTGGGACGGGTCACCTGACTTGGATAGAAAGCTGTAAGCTTATGGCCCAGCTCATCAGAAATGCTGGTACTTATTTTTTTTATGTGTATATTATATATATATATATATTCGGGTAAGTTGTGATTTGCCTGAAGTCAGGTTTTCGGAGTTTCTTGCCATCATCCAAATGGCGTGACCATAGCCATAGATCAATGTGATATCGAAACGAAACAAGATCCCGAGTTGGCCAACCATAGAAGGAAAAAAACAACAACATGGCCGGGAAAATGATGAGGCTCATAGTGGGAGTCCATAGTCACAAATCCACTGGATTTTCCCAGAATTTCCGGTTGAAGGGGTATTGAACTCACTGCATAGTGCTGTATGGCTAGTGCCGTTTACCACAGCCGCATAAATATATCCCAGCCATGGTGAAAATCCCAACGATCAACCCTGGTGGGTTTACGTCCTCTCATCAAAGGCGGCGAGGGTAGCCCGGTAGTTCTTCTCAAGGGGAACATATCCGAACATCATAAAAAAAATTACTTCCCGGGTGCAGACTTGGTTGGTGGCTTCAAACATTTTTTATTTTCCATAATATATGGGATAATCCTTCCCATTGACTAATATTTTCAAGATGGTTCAAACCACCAACCAGAGACTATGTTGAGCCATTTGCGGACTGTTTTTCCAAACAGGATCGTGCAAGCCGCATCAAGCCGCCAGGTTTCCTCAAGGGCCTTGGGGTGGCGCAGGTGTGCCATGTGGGCGATGACACTTGGCACCAGGTTTGTTGCTCCATGTCTGGGAATACCGGTGGATACCGCTGGTATTTTCACAGTATGTCAATGGGTTGGTTTTAGGGGAAGTCTGCAAAAAAGCCTGGTTTTTTCCAGCAAATGTGGGGGGTTCCTGTAGATTTTCCCTTAAACCAATGGGATGCGTTGTCAAAAACAGCCACCATTGCAGCCATGGAAGATTGACCCACCTGCAATCCATTCGATCTTTTCGCCTCACCCCACCGTTCCTGTGAGATTCAATCGGGGGTTAACCAATGGGATTTCGGGGCTTTCCTGCGCCCCTTTTTCTCTGCGTCTTGACCCATTGTATCTGCTATGGGTATACCATGGCTTATTCCATTCCTGGTCAAACCCTTGTGTTTTCCTGCAGGTCAAAGTCCAAATCATGCCTGTTTGGATGCAGATTCAACCAAACCCCAAAGGCGACCTGACACAAACAAACAGTATTTCTATATAATTATATATAATTATATATATATGCACATTTATTTCTATTTTCTTGGGCGGTCTGGGATTTGATTTTGGCAACAGTAATTTCTATACCCAGAGTAGTTTTTGGTCCCAACTTTGCCAACCTTTAGTAATCCAATTGTTTCTTATCTGTATTTTTGTTGTAATTTGATATATGCCCCTCCCAGAAAATAGGCATCTCCGTGGCCCCTGAGGACCAGGCGATCCAAGGCTTTGCGGACACCTCCTCTGCACAGGAGTGGTTCGATGAAGGCGAGTCTACCTATTTATCTAGCTAGCTAGTAAGCCTATTAGCTAGCTAGCCAGCTAGCTATCTATCCATCCATCCATCCATCCATCTATCTATCTATCTGTCCATCCATCCATCCAGCCATCCACCTATCTATCCATCCATCCATCGATCTATCTATCTATCTCTATCTCCTATCTCCTATCTCCTATCTCCATCTCTATCTCTATCTCTATCTCTATCTCTATCTCTATCTCTATCTATTTATCTATCTATTTATCTATCTATCTATTTATCTAATCTATCTATCTACCTATCTATCTATCTATCTTTCTATCTATCTATCTATCTATCTATATAAATTATATAAATCTATCTATATAAATCTATCTATATATATCTAGTTATATATATATGACTTATTTATGTTTTTATACACGCTAATGTATCTACATATGTTTTGTCTGCTCTGATTTCTATAACGACCATCTTCTCTGATCTGGCGCACTCGAATCTAATTTTGTCATATTTTGTCTAACATTCTTCTGAGTGTTTATGAGTGTTTATTAGTGTTTATGAGTGTGTATGAGTGTGTATGAGTGTTTATGAGTGTTTATGAGTGTTTATGAGTGCTTATGAGTGTTTATGAGTGTTTATGAATGTTTGTGAGTGTTTATGAGTGTTTATGAGTGTTTATGAGTGTTTATGAGTGTTTATGACTGTTTATGAGTGTTTGTGAGTGTTTATGAGTGTTTATGACTGTTTATGACTGTTTATGACTGTTTATGACTGTTTATGACTGTTTATGAGTGTTTATGAGTGTTTGTTTGTTTGTTTGTTTGTTTGCTTTTCCAATCCCATGACATCTTTTTAGATGGACCTTGGCTCTGCCTATCGTGCGGCCGGCTGGGAAATTGCCAGCCATGTCATACTAGAGAAGTTATATAAGTAGAACATCATATGGTTATACATAGTTCCATGGCTATATGGTTCCAACCAGTCAATGATATATAACTAGTGGAAAATATAACCAGCATCATAGATTGTTTTTTGACTGCCATGGTTCCGTGCCAGACCCCTGGCACATGGGTGAAACCATGGGCATGCGAATCACAAATTTGTACTTGCTGCAACTCGAAAAAAACACTGATAATAAAAACATCAGAACCGTTTAGTTACTTTACTTCACCCAATAAAATCATTGTTGATTAGAACATCAGAAACGTTTAGTTACCATACTTCACGCAACAAAATCACTGATAATTAAAACACGAGAAACGTAAAGTTATTCACCCAACAAAACCACTGATGATTAAAACAAAATACATGTTTAGGTAAGATAATGGAAGTTGTGGGATATCACGAGGGCATCATTTGGCAATGATGGATGTCGTGTCACTACAAGACGGCACAGTCTTTGGCCGCCAGGTTTGCGAATGTTTCGACAGTTTGGGAAATTTGAGTCAGCAGGGGAGCTCAAGAAAGGTTTTGCGTGCACCCTGCCACTGATTTGAACAGAGCAATTACCTCGGTTGGGGGGAGTGAAGTTGAACCCTTTACATATTTGTGTCCCTTGTTGGTTCTTGCATCATCTTGCATCTCAGACCATGATATATGAAGTTCTGTGCATGATCGTGTTGAATTATTGCGTAATGCATGGCTTACTTCTGTCTACCTGGTCTTGTGGATGTGTGTTCCGACATGGTGGATTTTCTGAAACATTTGTTATCACCATGTTTTTTTTGTGCTCACGAACTCAAAAAGCTTTATACTGCTTTATAATGCTTTTTATGTGTGTATATATATATGTATATAATTCAATATATATACAACTACCCTCCGGAAAAAAATACATAGCTATGGAAATTTGTCCATTTACGGACGAATTGCCTATATTCATCAAGTAATCGTTGTGATTTTCCATAGCTATGTTAAATCGCCATAGGGGTTTTGTAGATATGAAGTAGCATGAATTATATAACCACAACTGACTATCGCTTTGAAGGATCTTTTCATGATTTGGTCCTTGTGGATTTCTGCAACGGTGTGACTTTGTTCTGTGAAGTTGCTGGAGGGTACTCGTATCATCACATATCATCAACATGCCCATGATAACATACATACTCACATCATCATTATTCATGTCATACATACATGCATACATGCATGCATGCATGCATGCATACATCCATGTATGCATACATACATACCTACCTACGTACATACGTACATACGTACATACGTACATATATGTACATACATATGTTACATACATACGTTACATACATACGTTACATACATACGATACATGCATAATCATACGTTACATACGTACGTTACATACGTACGTTACATACGTACGTTACATATATACGTTACATACATACATATATGCATGCATGCACTTCTAGGAAGAAAGTTCACAACGTAGCATCAAGACCGTCTGAAGTTCTAGGAAGAAATTTCACAACGTAGCATCAAGAACGTCTGCAGTTCTAGGAAAAACGTTCATAACGTAGCATCAAAACAACGGAGTCACAAGTAAAACGCACGCGACAGGACGATAATTATTACGCTCCCCCCCCAACCCCCCCAAAAAAGCCAACCCCCACAATTAAAAAAAACACCAAAAAGGAGAAAACAAGGTAGAAAAACGGACCATTGGCACAGCGAGAAACAGACAAAATGCCGTAAAAACCAATACAACACGACAAAAAACAACAAAAACACCACGGCCATTTGCGGGCGGTGGTCCAACTACATACATAAAATATAGAAATCGATCACAGACGTTGACCATAAAAAACAACAGCGATAACATATATGTCCCCCCCAGCTGCGACTTATATGCGCCCAGGGGCGGGACTATATGTATATATACATTAAGCTGCAGACTTGCAGGTACAGGAAACCGGCCACGTTTCCCTTCCCACTCATGTCCACAGCTTCGTTGCGTGTGGTAGGACATGAGTGCGACACGCCCCTGCATAGTAATTAGGAAGTTTTACATCTATACAGATGGTTCGCACACATTATATATATATTATGTGATATGTTCTTATTATTCTTATGATTGTTTTGTTTGGACTATTTGTTTATTTGTATGGGTTGTGTATCCAGCGAATCCCACTACGCCCCCCGTGCGACAACGCCGAGGCGAGGCTTTGCTTCGACAACGCCGAGAAATCCGGCCTCGCCCAGGCCGGAGATGGGCCGACAGCGTCGTCGTTGGGGATTGGATTAGATATGATTATGATTAGGTAGATATGACTAATGATATGATTATGATTATGATTATGAAAATCTGGTTGGTGGTTTGGAACATGATTTTTCCATATATTGGGAACAATAATCCCATTTGAGTAATATTTTTCAGAGGGGTTGAAACCACCAACCAGGTATGAATATTATTGTAGATATGATTATGATTAGGATCTAGTATAAAGATCTATTTATGATTTTGATCCTTGTAAATACTGCAAATATCTACTGATGTGCATTTTTTCGTATTCCTATGCTGTGGTCTAAAGCCGCCAATTACTGTGGGTTTACACTGCGCACCTCTAAGACATCATGATGTTTTCTGTGAACATTTTCTTGGCTTTATGCAACCTGTGTGTTGAATTTTGTTATGCTTTCGAGGTGTGTGGCCAACTGTGGGATGCCCCAAGAATTGTCCAATTCTTGTGACCACAAAAAACATCATGAGAATAGTTTCATCCAGCGGTCAAGTGGCCATGGCACGGCATGGAAATGCATGTGATACCCCGCGTGTCGCCAGGGAGCACCCTGGAAATTGCTGGCGGAAGCTGAGGACAGCGGGCTGCCATAGATTGATGCGCAGCGGAAAGGTTGGGGAAAAAATGTCATCATCTTCCCATGAAAATGGCCATACTTTGTGGTACCTATGTCTTGCTCATGTTCAGACACTTTCAGACAAAGCTTCAGACACAGCCTCTAGAGTTTTGAGTGACGTAAGACAGATGTTTTAGCCTCCAAGCAGCTGAAAGCAGTGTGATCCATCAACCAAAAAAACCTAAACAACCATAAATCCTGGAAACCCTGAGTTGGTTTATGCAACATATACAGATGTCTATAGATCATATACATTCATATACCATGAAACCCAGCTATACCCAGTTTAGCTACTTATGAACGCAACATGGCTACCGAACTGGGGGCACCTTGCGTACCTTGCCAGGAATACAAGACGCCAGGGAAAGAAGACTTTGGACAGGCCGCTGATCGCAGCGTTGCACCCAAAAACCATGGTGCATGGGGATAAAACGATAAAACACACATATGTGGTTATGGAACCATCTAAGGGGGAAAACCATATCATCATATAATCTTAGGGTGATGGGATTGTTGTTAAGACGATCCAGGCATTTTTTGAGGTTGGTGGGTTGGGGAGCATGATGCGCATGATGCCCGCAGTCAGCTGTTGGCACGAGAGAGCAGCCTGGATGATAGGCCAGTTCAGTTGACAAAGTAGTTGCAGGAGGATCTTGGATAACTTGGTGCACTCAGAGCACTTGCGTGAGACATTTATCTGTGTAGCTTGAGGGTTCGGTTGGGGGTTGTTGATGTGCAAAAGCATGGTGATTATGATACCCTCCATAAGTTGGGATAATTTCCTACATCATCCTACATCATCCTACAACTATGCTTATATATAACCACTTGTAACTGGAATTGCGCCCCCGAGTACGGTGTTGATAAACTCCATCACCATTTCGGCCGCATCACAGGTCAATATACATACTAGAACTCTTCCGCTTACGCACATGTAATGAGGGTTGGATATCCACCACGGTCATCCGGCGAGGGTCATTTGATCTCCCCAATAAGATTTCTTTGTGATGCGGTTTTTCATTTTCGGGTGGGTCTCACACACAACCAGATGCAAGTATGTCAAAAATGTAATTACGTTAACTTATAAGTGCCACCAAATATGCAAAAGAAAGGCAACTGGATCGGAAAAAAAGTATCATGACAGTCCTGCCACTGAATAGTTTGAGCAGCGGTTGTGCGCCATGGCACTCCTACCTGTGCCCGGAATTCCGGAGAGCGGCAGCATTGAGGGAGACTTCTGGGAATTGCACCGTCAACTAGGGGAATGTTGCTGAGCTTTGGGCGGTTTTTTGGGGTGGAATATGGTGATTTCATGGACAAAAATTGGTGGCTTAATATTGGTTTAGCCATGGAAGAAATGGGGACTTGACCGGGATTGAACCAGCTGGTCGTTGATCGGATGGATAGACCCAGGCATGGGCAATTCAGATACATGATGCAAACAATCTAGTGTGGCATATATGTTCGCATGGCTTTGACAGTTCATGATGACATGTGAGATGGATGGACAGTGACAGATGGATATATGTACACATTCGCGTGCTGACCTAGAAGTGGTGACTGTTTCTGCCATAGTGAAGCTAATATATATATAAACAGTATATATATATACATATATATGTATATGATACGTATATGCAGTATACTCTTTGAAGGGCCTGAAGGGGATCTGGTGGTGAGCCTCCCCTTACAATAAGAAGCAGTGCGCGGGGAAGAGATACAATAGCATACAACAGCACCCTTGTTGCCATATCCTTGCTGCACAATGTTGCAGGTTCAGAGCAATGTTGCCATATGGCCAAGTGGCCAATTATCACTCTTGCATGTGCCCATAGGCCATCATAGGCCATCATAGGCCATCATAGGCCATCATAGGCCATCATAGGCCTGGGTTTATAGCAGCATAGTGACATAGTGTTAGGGTTCATCCAGCATCCAGCATCATACCACCATCATCCAGCATCATTAGTGGTTGGGCGTGGCCTTGCCCTTGGTCCATTCCCCAATTCATGGCCCATTTTCATGGACATTATTAGTCAATAACCATTTGTTTTGATGATTAACCACTATAGATCCCATAGTTTTTATATAGTTTTAAAATGTTTTAAACTTTTTTCCCCAACATGTTCAGGGTACCAACCCCAGCTCTCTGTGTCAGGCTACGCACGCGACGTGCAGCCCAAAGGGGAGGCCAAGGCACCAACTCCTCAGGCACTGACGATCCCAGACATGCCAGGTTCGAGAAGGCATAGCCGAGCGCGCTTGTCCCTCGGATCTCTCGGAATCGGATCTGGCCAGGGCTTTTCTTTGGTTCGTTGTCATTGGTTTAAGCAAATCGATAGAAAAACCTATCAAATGCCGGGCAAATTTGGTTTCGACCTTGCGACCGAAAGCTGGAAGAATGGTTAGGGGAATCACCCCCCGGACTTCAGTCAGGCTGGTGAAAAATAAGAATTTACCCAGCTTATATTGCATTATTTCAGGGTCAAAGCAACAGTTTCCGATTTTCTCTTAAATCAATTCGTCTGGAGTTTATCTGAAATGCTAAGAGGAAACACCCCAGCAACCCAAGTGATAATCATGGTTTTCCTCATTGTTAACGGTCATTTCGGGGTAAACCCATTTTCAGACGGACTGTATATATTGGTTTCATCAGGTGCTCTACTGCTGCATATTTGTCCCATTGGGTTTCATGTTCTGTGGGGCTAACGTAGTTAATACATATATATATATATATGTGTTGGTTATAATTCATTTTTAGGAGGTTGACATGCATGTTCATTTTCCTGGTGGTGAGATAGTGTGAGATAGTGGTTCTTCAACAACAAAAGGTTGCTGGTTATAGACGAAAGATAAGGACCCCGTTATACCGTTGATGGGCCATCGGGGTGTAGCTGTAGCTTTGGTGGAGCACGAATCAAGTAAAGTGCCAGGTCCGGAGAACTCTTGAACTCTTAAGCCCAAGTTCTTTTTGGTGCCACGTTGACTTTGGGATGCACCAGATAGTGAAACTTATCAGGGCATAGGGAAACCCTTGTCCTTTATACTGTAGTTGGATGTAGTTGGCCTTCTGGTCACTGCCATCCTGCATTGGTACAGGAGCCAAAACAAATCCCCAGGATCCAAGGCCTTCGTGGCCCAAGGTCCAACATTTCTGGTCTGTCAGCCTCGGTCTCCGGCTTTGGTGCGCAGAGTTTTGGCTTGTCCAGCCATGAGACTTGGCATGCGGGGCCAAGGTGAGTGGCTCTGAGAATGGGGGCACCTCGAAACCATAGGAAAAACATCTCATTTAAACATAATTAAATAAATCAATAAAAACACACATATATATATATATATATGAATATGGTATATATATTATACATATTATACATATGTGTGTGTTATATATATAATTATGTAATGTAATGTAACGTAACGTAATGTAATGCAATGTAATGTACTTGATAATGTTATGTAATGTTATGCAATGTAATGTTATGTAATGTTATGTAGGGTTATGTAGTGTGGTGTAATGTTGTGTAATGTTATGTAATGTTTTGTAATGTTATGTAATGTTATGTATATGGTAATGTTATGTAATTTTAGGTTTTGTAATGTTATGTAGGGTTATGTAGTGTTGTGTAATGTTATGTAATGTTTGTATGTATATGTAATGTAATGTAATGTAATGTAATGTAATGTTATGTTATGTTAATGTTTGTATGCATGCATGCATGCATGCATGCAGGTATGTATGTATGTATGAACCCCCCATTTTATGAAACCACTGGGCTAGGGGTCATTTGTTTCGTTATGGTGAAAATCATTGGGGGATCATTCTAGAAAGATTATGGCCAGAAGTTTCAGGCAGTGAAACCAAAAACTTGGATAGATCTTCCCAACCCCAACCACCGATTCCAACCAGGAGTTTTGGAACAATCCTGGCAAATGTTTTGGACGGAATATATGCACCCAACCAGCTAAAGATTCATAACTTTGTTGCAGGGGTTCGTCTAAATTTGACCCTGCCTTGGGCAAACCTCGGTTTGGTGCCCTTTCTCTTGGCCCCTTTCCGTACTGCAGAGGACATGCCAGCGATCCCTCCCAACGTGCGCGTGGAGGAGCTGCGGGGGCGAAGGAAGCAGACCATGCGGAGTTTGGCGGGTCGACAGGGCATGGGCTTGGATGACTCCGAGGACGGCAGCGTCGCAGCGTCGAGTTTGGGTACGGCTGGAGGATGGAGGACCATCCGTGGATCATAACTGGTTCATAGGATTTCATATGCCTGGTTAGTGGGCTATGGCTATGCCATTCACAAATGGGGTATCACTGTGTCGCGGTATACCATGATTAACATGGGTCATAACTATGCTTCTGAACTAGTCACTAAGTGGGGTGTTCCTGCAAGTATGGAGGGGTGGCCAGACTGATGCAATGGCGGGCCCTGACCATAGCACTGGGGGTGGGGATGTTGAGCAGATGGACAGAGGCACGAGAAGTCATACAGCACAGGGACGAACGAGGTCGGGATATAGTTCCCTTTTTTATAACATTTTATGACGACAATGTATACAATATTTCCCCGTACGCCCCCAAAAGCTCTTCTTCAGGAGGTCAACGTGAAAATGATTGATCTGAAGATGCACGAGTGTTGGAAAGTGAAGAAACCCACGGGGAAGCAGCAAGCAGGAGGTGACTTGTCAGCAAGAGCATGAAGGTATGCTGAAGATACAGGCAGTTGACTACATTTTATTTGCTGTGCTAGTTGAGATGATCCCATTTGCCAATTGACATCAATTGTCTACACTTATTATCTTTGATTGGTTCGGTGAAAAATGTTGAAGTCACCAACCAGATCTAACCACTGTAGTGGCACGCAGTAACAATACTGTGTTTTTCCTCGTTCTACCTGGGATGGTGATCCCTGAACTCTTCAGATGGGTTGAACCAGCCAGCACATCCAAGCAGTAAGCAGCACATCAGGTGCCCATCGTTTGTCCGGCTAGGTCCGTTTGGTGCTTATCATCTTATCCCCATCGATGTTTACCCACGTTTTCCCTGTGTTGCTTGCTTCAATTCAAGTTGATGTCTCCACCACCCCGTGCTGGGAGCATTATCCATCATTATCCTACCTAGTGGTTAGTAAACAAGACTCGTTAACACCCTGTTTGTCGGGTTGTTGGTAACCCTGGTTACGAAGTATTTCCTGAAATCCTGCTATAAATCTCATGGCATTGGTTGGTTATGGTTGATTAAAATCCTGTGAAATCCATTATATTTACATACTGTAACATTTAATCCCATGCGCTATAAATCCCATCAAATCCCCACTAAATCATACTATATAAATCCAATCAAGCCCCATTAAACTCCATTAAATCACCATGAAATGCAATTAAAACTATCAAAACCCATTAGATTTAAAACCCCATTGACTCACCATTATACTCCCCTTGAATCACCGTTGTTCCTCCGGATCATCGAGGTACCAACACGCGGCGCATGTCGGTGGAATTCGCCGCCCCGCAGACCACAGTGGCAAGCACTGCAGAGGTGGAGAAGAGCCACGGCGGGTTCAACCGATGCGTGTCACCTGACTGGGGTGGGAATGACTTGCCATGAAAAATGGGGGTTAAGTGGTTAAGCACCACTTTTATGGAATCTCAGGGGGGCTAATGGGATTTGATGGGGTTTAATGGGATTTCATGGTGATTTACTTAGGGTATCTTGGGGTTTAATGGGATATAACTCACCAAGAATATGACATAATAGCATATAACAGCAATGATATAGCTCCAAAAAGACGCCGAAGGTGGGATGGCACGCTCGCCGATCAGGCTGCACCCGGGTGGTCTCTTCCGAACCGTTTGGAATCTCATGGTGGCACTTTGCGTCTTGCACGTACCTTGGAAGCGGACCTGGCTAGCTGTTACTTCATGTTACTTCATGATTCTTAGTGAGATGTTTCATGATGTTCCCTCACTCCTGACATCTCCTGATTATCCCATGTTTTGCGGGGGCAGGATGCCCTGCCATTTCTCTGGGTTATCTCCTGGTCCAATGTGCTCAAAAGAATCACGTGTCGGTTGCCATGCTCGAATTTATACCGCGCGGTTGTGTTTCCCGACCATGTACCAGGACAGTCTAGTGGGTTTACTTGCTGACTTCCAATGTGTATAGATGATGTACCTCTTAAACACTGGGATCACTAGGATTCTTACCATTGCGATTTCTTTTGGGGGGCTGGAGGGAAAATCACCAGTGCACCATCAGCACATCTCAGGATCTGGTTCTGATCCCACTCTCCGCCTTCGATTTAGTGGAGCCTTTGCTCAGATGTAATATAGAGCTACTGAACCGAGCGTTTTTAAGCCTCCAACTAACATCGGCTGACTTGCTTTGGCAAGGCATGTTGATCCCAGTTTTGGGTTGGCCCTAGGAATGGGAAGCACCCCCCAACCACCCCCAACCGACGTCAGGAGACAACTTTGCTTTCCGTTCTGCAGTGGTTGGTTCTTCTGTCCTGGAACTGTTGCTTGGCGCGCCCATCCCGGTTTTGCAATCCCATCCCCCCATATCCCCCCAACATATGGATCCCCAAGATAAATAATTCCGACACTACATGAGGGTTGAGAGGCTGGATATTGAAAATTACGAGGGATGGATTTCTATGGATTTATATGGGATTATATGGGGTTTAGGGTCCTATATGTGTCATATTGTGTCATTTTTACCAACTCCACTCGGTTCCGCAGAGCCATGGCACAAGTGGCTGACCTCGCCCAGGTGATTTAGTTGTGTCGCTCCTGACAGGGTTCTATGACAATGGCACGCTGGTCATGGTGCCAACACAGATTTGGATCCACTATGTGACCTGGAAAAATGGTGAATTGCCATGAGTCAAAGGTCAACATTTTGGAAGTATGAGGTGTTATTGAAAATTGGAGCCATGCAGCCATGATGAAGCATAATGAAGACCTAGTCATCAAAGCCACCAAAATTCGGTCATGGGCATCACGTCGTTTACAGGAACCCTTGTCGTTCTACACTACGCATCCATGAGAAGCATCATGGTTTCCAGCAGAATTATTACCATGATTACCCTCCGGTTATTTAGGAGTTTGCCATGGAAGCCATGGCCCATCATGGCCCATTTAGTTGGATGACTTCCAGTAGCCATGGTGATGAAATCCATGGCAAACTGGAGGCCAAAACCTGGATGATCTTCGATCTGAGCCTCCTGGCGGCAGGGGATGCCAGGTGCTCATCCCCAGTCTCTGCGCGTTTCTTTGCCATGTTTTCACAGATAGACTTGTGACTCCTTCAAGGTTCAAATGCTTTCAATAGAATTCCTTGAACAAATGCTTTCTTTGGATTTCCCCCGGGAACTATCAAGGACATCCAGAATCATCCAGATTTGGCGCTCCAGTGCATAAGTTTTGATGCACGCACACGCATGTTCCTTTCTGGGAGTTTGGGGGAATAGAAACTCTTTTTTGACATTCAACCCCCGTCGTTTTGGACAAAAAAACGCACACGCTTTGGGCTAGTTTGAGCCACAGATATCATAGCCATTTTGGAATAAAGCTCTTTGGATGTTACTGCATGTGGAATGTTTAAACTCATTGTTCTGTCAAACCCAATTTGAACAATTTTGGGCGTGAATTATGAACTGGCACAGTATTTCCCACTTTATCTCTTTCCATAAGAAAAAACTATAAAATTAAGGTTTGGATGTTGAACACCTTGGGTACACATATTATATTGCACAACATTCCTATGGCACTTAAAATGTCTGACAAACCCAAAAATCACATATCAAGGTCGTTAGTTCTACCCCACTATATCCCGTTAACATCTCATTCATCCATATGTTTATTGGTAAATCCACCATTTTTCCATTGGACTCACATTGATCAGTTCTCTTCCATTCCATTAAATCCCATGAAGTTCCATTAAGCCCATGAAATCCCTATATTTCCTCATGTTTATCATTGTTTATCCAAAGTACATCAAAGTACCCATCCCAGGTTACCCGGTTACGGCTTGGTTTCGAGGCCTGATCACCCTGGACTGGACGCTGGTGGCGCTGGGTGGCGCGGGCGCGGAGCGGGACTCCGATCAGTGGCAGACGCTGCGGCTGCTACGGAGCCTGCGACTGGTGCGGATGCTGCGGATGATCAAATTGAGGCGTGCGCCGGGAACGCGAACGCGAAGGATACCTATGGATACCCTCTGGTAATTTGTTACATAGCGAAGCCATGGCCCATTTATAGTTGATTTACCTATTAAAATTTAAAGATTGTGATTTTCCATAATTAGCTATGTTAGTTTACCAAAGGGTAACCAAAACTTAAACCAAGAACGAATTGGGATCTATATAATGGGATTTCATAGGATTTTTTGGGGATTCAACGGGTTTTAATGTGATTTTTTTCATGCTTTGGAACTAGCTTGATGCTGGTAAAGCAATAGGATCCACCCCCAGGTTTACCATGAATAGGTGGTTTTTTCGGCCATCAAGATATAGGTGCTTGATGACATTGCGTTACTTATATGTCAATGTTAAACCAACAATTTCATGGATATTTCTGTTATTACCAGTAGCCAGTTGGAAAATGATCTGCGAATGGGTTCTTAAATGGGAAATCATCTTAAACTAATGGTGGATTTTCAGCACCATGTTTGATTATCACGGGGTATATATAGTTGTGGTAAGAGATATGCTGTCCCTTTGTTAGAAGGAAGCAAAGGAGCTATGGCTAACCATATTCCCTGTCAAATAGGGAGCCAAGGAGTTACTAAGAGATTCCCAACCACATGATGGTATATGTGGGCATCAGTGGGCTGTTTTGCTAAGTTTTCCTGTAGTTAATGAGAAAGGGTCATGGTGCAGTGTTGTCTCAGGAGTTGATCAGCAAAGGGAAGCGGTTTGGGATGTGTCCTGCTCAAGTGCCAAAAACCGTTGGGTTTGGGTATTAAACGTCCATGAAAAGGAATAAGCACGGCCCACAACCCTAATAATACCCCCATCATACCGAATCACACCCTACAGTATCAAATCTATGTCGCTTGGGTGCCTTGGCGGCACGCATTTCATCCCGTCCTCCCAGAAAAGACAACGCACGGCTCAGCGGCTCAGGCGGGCGCACGAGGCGTTTCAGGAGATGCTTCACTCCCAGGCTTCCAGCTGCTCGACTTCGTGGGATCATCGTCAAGGGATGCATCTCTCAGAGCAGTGGCTGCTAAAGCCTTGTTGGTTGTTGGGGGCACACTACCAAACATATTGGGGCTTATCATAATCCATTCTGGGCTTTAGACCTTTTGCAGGAATGTGGCCAACCTGACCTCAAACTCCACTGTCCTTCCAACTGATTAGGCTCCCTGGCTGAAACTTGGACCACGACCAGCTGAGGTTTGTACTTCGGTCTCGTCAGCAGTTTGGGTTACTTGCTGGTGCTGAACCACTTCATCGCCTGTGGCTGGTTTGCGGTGAGCCATTTGGATAGCCAGGTGAACTGGGTCTTAGAGCTGGGCTTGGACTCACAGAGCGTCGCATATCAGCAGCTTGGTGCTATTTTTAGGGGATGGGCTGGGTGGAGTAATGTGATGTAACGTGGTAGGCTCAAGAGTCATGAAAAACATAGCGTTTAATTTAACGTGTTTGGGATATTGCTTATGATTTTTTAATACCCAATGGAAAGGGAAAAACACATCCGGTTAGGAGGGAGCCAAGGAGCCAAATGGGGTTGTTCCAGCTTCTCACTTTCACTCTTTCATAGTCCCCAAAATGATGAAAAAGGAATGAAAAGGACATCCCCATTGAAAAAAATCAAGGTTCTCTTTTCTATCTTTTTTTTGGGGGGTTTAACTCTACTTCACCCAGCCCTTCCAAACCAAACCCTTTGAAAACGGTGGGTTTTTTCTTCGCTCCACTCGAGGTACCTAACCTGCATGAACTGGGCCTTCGCCCAGCTTGGTGTGGGCTCGAGTAGCGCGAAGCCGGTGAATTCCTTAGACGCTGGGCTCTGGAAAATCCCTATTTGTAATATAGGCTGTTGTTCATAACTATGTTAGTTGTAATATAGGCTGTTGTCCATGATGATGATGAATAGGTATGACCGATGACTATGCAAACCATACATTATGATGCACTATGAATATATATATATATGTATACATACATACATTACATTACATTACATTGCATTACATTACATTACATTACCGCACATTACATACCTACCTACCTACCGACCTACCGACCTACCGACCTACCGACCTACCGACCTACCGACCTACCGACCTACCGACCTACCGACCTACCTACATACCTACATACCTACATACCTACATACCTACATACGTACCTACGTACCTACGTACCTACGTACCTACATACCTACATACCTACATACCTACATACCTACATACCTACCTACCTACCTACCTACATACCTACCTACCTACCTACCTACATACATACATACATACATGAATAGATCCAGTGTAAACTTAAACCTGGAATCTTTGCGAGGGTATTGGCTATGAGGAGGAAATAACAAGTCCCCTGATTCGGGTTATGCATATATATATACAGATGGATCAAAATCCGGGTTAAACCACTTCTGACCAAGCAATCATTGGGATGATTCTGCAAGTGAGGGGCAGCCCTCAGGTAGTCAACCATGGTGTGTTGGCCTCTATGTGTACATGGTTTACTGGTAAACGATTGGGGTGGTCCATTGCTTATCAGACGGCAAGTTCTTGGCCATGTGTTTGGCCACAATTAGGAAGAGCACAGCACACCCCAAAAAACATATTGTTTCAGTAAGGAATCTAAACTATAATGCATATATACTGTAGCCATGCTCCATAGCAAATTTTCTACTATATCTTCGGCTGGCCGCGGAAGATAGGGTCCTGCAATGGATTTTTACTGTCTACGTCGCTTATACCAGAATGTCTATTGTTAAAAGAGGGCTTTGAGCCGAAAAAAACCATCCCAAGGAAAGTCAAACCAGTTTGGAAGCTCAATCGTCCAGGTGGTCCAAAGTATCCTCAAAAGCATCAAAAGTCTGGTGGCTGACAAGTGGGCAGCTGCTTGTGCTCACCACTTGTACACTAAGATAGTGTCTGGAGATGTCTCGAGATGTCTGCAGATGTCTGGAGATGTTTGCAGGTCTTTCTTGAATTCTTACTTTGATTCGGAACATGCACTTTGCCCTGCTGAATAAGATGGACATGTCCAGATATTTCCAGATCCAGAATTCCAGCTCGGCAACGGGTCCAACGGGCTAGAGCGATCCTATTCACTGATATGAAAATCCATGGATTTTCCCCATTAACATCCATGAACAAGTTAGATGATCAAGATTCCAAAAAACACACTTCGGGCACCTTGGAACCCAGCTCCTCCTGGGCATTCCCTGGATTCCCTGGCCTTTCCCGAGCTCGTTGAGGAGATGGGCTTCTGCATTTTGATCGCCTTCCGCTCACTGATGACCTCAGCCACATTGATCAGCACCGTGAGCAACTTGATGGCTGGGCTCAGCAAGATCAAGGAGGATGAGCCGCTTGGGCCATGGGAGGAGAATGGCGGAAAATGTTTTTTCTTGAAGTAAAAATCATGGAGGATTTTAGCAACATAAATGAAAATTAATGATGGTTCACGCGCGATTTATGATCACGCAGTTTGCCTATGTTATCCTATGAATATTTAATGATATTTAATGTCATTTAATGTCATTTAATTTACATGTATATATATAATTATGCAACAACTATAGCACTATTTTGTTGGATGGGTTTATACACCAACTTGCGGCGCACTGAGTTTTGACTTCCCGGAGGCTGGGTCACTAAGGAACACCGAGTTTCGCTTGTTGCGTTGCTACCTGAAGCAGAACGACATTCCACAGCCCTTGAGCCAAAAGGTGACTCAATTCCTCCAGCATCAGTACAGCTGCCCGGTTGAACTGGATGAAAGGGTTTGGGGATAGATCGATCGGGAAATCCTGTAGGTAATGGTAATGTATGGTAAGTTGATGGTAAATTTATGTAATTGGAAGCATTTTGAGTTACTTTCGGGTTGTTTTTTGAAATGCTGTCAGTGAATAATTCTGATTTACTTATGAATTTGTTATGAAGTGGTTGGGAGCCTCAGCCGGTCGACAGATCATGGAAGTTACTCAACTGCTGACCTTGGCCTTGGAGTCCCCAAATTGTAAGATCAACATACCGACCATTTGACATTGGAGAGTTCGCTGATTTCAATTCCAACTAATAGGTTCGTTGAAAGACCTTGGGGTCAAAAAAGAAATGTTATAGACCCAAGCAGTAAACATCGATAAAACTCCAAGTTGGAATGACTAAAATCTTTGGGCCATTTCTTGAAGACGTTGGGCCCACCACTTCTCAGCCGTTGCACCTCACATCTCCCAGGCTTGCGACAGGAAGCTCGCTCGGCAGATATGGAGGTCCCCGTCCTGACGCTGCTGTCGAAGCAGCTGCAAGGCGAGTTGCAGTTCGCCAGATATCATAAGGCGCATGCAGGGAGCTGTGAACGGAGCTATGATGTTCATTTTTCCTATAGTAAATATTAAACAAAGAGGGAAGCCAAGGAGCTACTAAGAGTTTCTCAACCGCACGATAGTCATCATGATAGTTGGTGATCATGATATGATAGATTGCAGAATTCTAACGTTCGGGCATTCTTCAGATCAACCTGCAGTATGCTGGAGCTAGGGCAGTAAATCAGGGCGCGCTTCCTTTGAACCAGTGGGCCTCCATGATTTTCTGTATTTGCAGGGTCAAACTTTGCTGAATCTCTTTGCCTTGTTCCGTAGGGTATTGCCCTGCTGTTTCTTAAATGTTCGAAGCAAGAAAACAAGAAGTAAACTTGCCATGCAGATATCTTACTCGCCTAAGGATCTTAAGTCTTAAGGGTGCATGACAAGATTTCGAGCCATAAACCTGGAGGCCTTGTGTCAACTGCAAGTGGTGCACGATTTGGATCAAATGCGTGACCTGCAAGTTCTACAGGCAGAGGATGGTAGATGGGGATTGTACATGGGGGAACTTGGACATTGGATGACACATTTCAAAGTCAATACGATGTCCATATGGGAACTTAAGACATGAATCTGAAATGTGTTTTGTTGGGGTAGCCATCTCCCGTGAGCCTTGATCATCTTGATGGTCGAACTCACAATTGGTCAGCTTTGGATTTCTATATTCATGTGTCCTGGCTTTGAATGTTGCTTCAATCCATTTTCTAGGTGAATGATAGGTGAATGATAACCAGAAGGAGGGAAAATGAGTGATTTCACCTCTTGATTTACTTATTTTACTCTCCCAGGCCCGCATCGGGTCTTTGGGTGCAGGTCATGCAGCGGATGTCCCGAACGGCCATCAGCAATACGGTGGTGGCCAGCAAAGATGTGATTTTTCTGGCTGGAGCCGAAGCCAAAGCTGCCTACTTCACTCAGAATCTTGTTTTTATGGTGCTAACGGGGATACCACCAACAATGGAGATATAACATGATATAAATATAGAATTAATATAGATATATAATCATACATAAATATACATAATGTATAGTCTGCATAGTCATCAGTCATCTCTATTCATCATTATTGGCCAAAAGCACATACACTCCAGTAAACTAGCATAGCTATAGGAAATGATCCATTTACTTCGTTGATTTACCTATTAAGGTGATGTTCCATGGCTATGTTAGTTTACCAGAGGGTGATGGGGATACAACCAACAATATGGGAATTACACGGAATTACCCTCTAAAATGTAACATAGCTTTGGAAAATAACCATGGTTCAGTTCAATAGGTGAATCATCGGTTTCTAAATGATGGGTTTCCCATAACGACCTGTTGAATCACTAGGGGCAACCAAAAAAACAAGTGGTATAACAGGGACATGATGGAGATAGAATTCGGATACAATGGGAATATCGGATATTATATGATTATGGCGATATATTTGGATAACTTATGATGGGAATTGGATGAGGGGCCCCACTTTTATGTCAAGTTGGATAACTGTTAGACAATTGGATAAATGGTAGTTACATGGCTCACATATCTAGACGAAAAATGATAAAAAATGATGGTTTGGATTAGGGGTAACTATCCCGAAATGGCGGAACTGCCCAGGTTGGCGAATTACCACAGTTGTATCCAGACAGTTTTTGTGTACCCTATGATAGTGTATACATGACATAGCCATGGAGAATGGTCATGAGTCATGAGATATTTTCCCATCAACAGCTCCATACCAGAGGGTACCCGGCCTGGTAAACATACAAAAAACTGCTGGGAAAATCACCATTTTTCATGGGTAAATCCACGAACTTTCCATGGCCATGTAACAAATGGATCCCGATGGATCCGGATGGATCCGAATGACCCCTGAGGAGCGGGTCCCTGACTTATTTCCACGATGATGGGCAACAGACAGCCTCTTGGAAGTGATGTTTTCAGATGGGCAGCAGAAGAAATCCTGGGTCAAGCTGGGATAGATATGGTATTCTATAATTTGTTGCTATAAACACTGGCAAATATGTTGAAAGCCAGTGTGTTTTTGCTTTTGTGCAGGGTATCTAAGATTGGCCACGTTGATGTCACGATGGCTTTGAGATGATACAACGACCCCCACTGGCCTCTCGATGCCTCCAAGATCTTGGATAACCTTGGGCGTTGGTGGTTGCCATTGGTTGCCTACTCTTGAAAAAGCATTGTGTATGCAGAATTATGTAGACATGTAAGTGGATGCAGGGAGATCCTAACAAGTAAATGTATTTGTAGATCATATAGTATTCATATAGGATGATTCTGAAGTTTTTTTGGGCCAACCTCGGGAAAAATCTTGGCTTCCCTCATCAAGGTGGACTGCAACTCTTGGATTGCGGAAGTTTGCATTTGGACGCCTTGGGTTTACATGGGAGATCTTGTGGCGGAGGATGTGTCTCGCTTAGCCATCTTGGATGTGGATGAGTTCTGCGAAGCTGGGATGAATTCATGTTGAAAATACCCTCTGGTAAACGTTAACAAAAAGCTATTGAACATTGCCATAGAAAGTTCGTTGATTTAAAATAGTGATGTTCCATAGTTTTTTGTATGTTTACCAGGGGGTACAGTACCCTCTGCTGGTCTGTTTGAAAGTGCTCCAAACTCAGCCAGATTCATCATAGTTCATCCTTTTCCACCTTGATGCCATCAAGGAACTCGGCAACTCTGGGGCCCAGTTCGTGACACGTCATGGATGCTATCCCCAAATATGTGTATAAACCCCTGTTGGTTGATGATTAATTAAAGGGAATATACTAGCCAATATAGATTATATCTGGTTGGTGGTTTCAAACATGTTCCATTTTTTCCATTTCATATAATTATGGGATGTCATCATCCCAATTGACTTTCATATTTTTCAGAGGGGTTAAAACCACCAACCAGATATCATATCCAATCCCATCCCCATCCTCCAAAAATTGAATACCCGCTGGCAATTTAAACGTGTGCCATTGAAAATCATCATTTTTGATATTTAAATAATCCCGTGCATATTGCACGGGCTACTGTTAAATTACCAGCAGATATTGGATCGCTAACTACTAAATCCCATTAAATCCTATTAATCAAATCCCATTAGTTTCTGTTAAATCAATAAATCATAACATCATATAAAAATATCTAAAATCATCTAAAATCCAACTTAGCCCAATCCCCCAAACTTGGCTCTCCCCCGGTCTCGGTCTCCACCCCGGGACCCCCGCGTCCCCATTTGGACGTCCATCAGGAGACCTTGGGTGCCTCTTGGATGACACAGAATGCGGCGCGACGCTATGCCGAAGACTTCCTGGAGAACATGCGAAAGCAAACCACCTGGACGGAACCGTGGTGGATAACGCTGGGATTTTTGTTATTTTTGTTGAGGGATGAATTGATATTGTATGGTGATTTAATGATGATTCTTAATGGGATGTACTAGATGTTTACTAGTGATATCTAGTGATATAATGGGATTTAATGGGGTTTCATGGTGATTTCATGGGATTCCAATGTCGTCCTTGTAGGAAAAAATGTCGCGGGGCCGGTGACTGGTCTATCGGTGTACCATTTGTCGTCACCTATTATGGCCTATTGTTTGTCCAATTGGGGGAAGCCTCTATCCATCAACCAGCCAGTGGTAAATGACATCTATGATCATCTATGGCATTAGCATTTTTCTGGAGGTTGGAATTGCAGCATGGGATTTGCATCGTGTTTTTTTGTGTCCTCGAAGTTGATATGTGTTGATCATTGATTGTATAGGCCCTAGGCAAAATATGGCAAAATTGTACATGTATGGATGCCTTTTGCTTTTCAATTTCGGGAATTTAGCATTATTTGGCAATTGTCACGGATTTTAATGAGGGTGTTATAGAGGTATTTCAACCGACTTTGTTGGGAAATGGGATTTTTATCAATTATATAGTACATGCTAAGTTGCAACTCCCTCACACCCGGGATACGCACGGATAGAATATGATAGTCATGCTATGACCATTTTTAACCCTAGTCAATAGGCAGTTATGATTCCTGGACTTCCTTGAGCGCAGCAACGCCAACCAATCTATCAAGGCTGCCGACTGTGATTCTGGTTGGTTCTGACAGCATCCTCGGGATGTTTTTTTGGGTGTTTGAATGGGAAACATTGGGAAACATATCATAACATATCTATCAATGGAGGACGGTAAGCGATGGAGAGAGCAACCAATCTTGCTCGTGAGGATATCGTTAAGGTGAACTTTGACGAGGACGACAGCGTAGAGGAGCGCCCGTGCCCACAGAATTCTACTTCATCTTTTGAGGGTTGATGTTCCATATATTTGGATGGTTAAATCACCAAAAACAACCCATATGTGAAATTCAATTTTTGGGAAATTGTTTGGGCTGCCAGAGTTGGCGTAGGGTTGGCACGGGTTTCCTGAAGCTGAAGCTGTTCTGGCTGATTATATCATAGTTCTTTTCCATACGCTCACTCTTGGTATCCGCACAATTCTTCATCTACAAGCTGAAGGACCAACTATCAGACCATCCTCAGAGAACAATGCGAAAATCTCAAAGGTGATAGCCACTGTCCAGTTGTTCCTCTAAGAACCTTTTTCAGCATTATTGAGCCATATTGAATCCAGAATTTTCGCTTGTTAAATCCCCAATTTGGCCCTTGAAATCCCCGTGTTTGATTGATAATTTATATGTTAAGAACCTTTAAGAACCATGTTTCCCCATACGTTCCATCGTTTTGCAAGGCCAAATCCCTAAAAAAACTCATGTTGATGGTGAAATCATGTTGAATCACCCTTGAAGTTCTATATGTCTCGAAAAAATGTCCAGGCGGAAAACGCTGCCGAACCGCTCGGCTTTTGGACGCGACTCTTTGGTCGTCGTTTGGCGCCGCGGCTGCGGACGGTGGTGCCAAAGGAACCCGAGGAGCTGAGCTGAGGCAAGGCTGGTGACTTGCCATCGCGATTGGGTGGCTTTAACATGCTTTAACCGTCAAATATACCATCCGGTCAATTATTGTAAATAGATTTTTGCTATGAAAACCTCCATTTACAAGGGATTTTCCATTGCCATGTTTGATTATTACTGGGGTATGGTGTTGTTTAACCATCAAAATTGTAGAAAAAGAGTGCCCCGAACACAGAAGTATTGTTTCTTTGCATCGAAGTTGGTTTTTCACCCAAAAAATCAAGTGTTTGACCATCAAAAATGGTGGGCTAACCATGAAAAAATGCAGCTGTTTACTGTTTAACCATCAAAAATAGCGGTCTTATAAGGCCAACATATTGCCAATATACACCAAGTCTTGACGGACATGATTTTGGTGATGAACATTTTTCAAGCGGGAGGCACGTGTTTCCCAACATTCCAATAGACGTGTCTTTGAAATGACAGAAATACAATGGAATACATTTTGAACCACCATGAAATGTAGAGAATTACAATCAATAATACATAGCCTGTAGTTTTTTTTTGTGTCTAACATCGACCGCCATCCCGAGACTGCGATCATGATCCACTGACTTTCAATGCATTCACTGGGTAAAGCCACCAACCAGCCAAGTTTGCGTAGAAAACCCGCAGATGCGCAGAGAACAAAGACTCGGGCATGCCGGGCATGTTCTCAAAACTTGAGGACATCCAAAAGCATACCAGACGGCGCAGCCCAGCAGACCCCAACAAAATGGATGGCTATACAAACAATGTCCATATTGCCGGCTTGGTTGCGAGTCAATGTTTTAGCGATGACCATGCAAAGCATGATCTTTGCAGGGTTTCACCGTGTTCAGTTGCCGCATTGGCAAGGCCAATGGCCGTAGCTGGTTGTTGGTTCCAAAAATTGCATGTCTTCAGTTTTTTTCATAGTTTTTCCCCAGGGATGTTGCCGATCCTGTCCCGGAATCCATCTTGGCATGCTGGGCCCTTAGAATATTGCAGGGTTACCATGTAAATTGATGTGTTTTTTCCGGGTTGCGCCCCATTAACCCATGGATGCTAGCTAGCTGTAGCCTGACACTTGTTTTTTTTGATGTTTTCTCCAGATGTCGGAACCAATCAAGCTCACATTGCTGCCAGCTAGGAGTTGGGCGCTGCAACTTGCTCATGGCAACTGAAAGGCCCCTATGGCCAATGGGTAAATCATCTGAAGATCTTGCCATGTTTAATCAACACCAGGGGTTTTGTTGGCCATTTCAGGTACATAAACTGGAGGTACTGTACCATATTTGGTGGATTTTGCTGGGGATATTCCCATTGATGATATCCAACACACACATATCTTCGCTTCCGTTGCAGCCCAGGGATGTCCAACGTAAATTCCAACTGTCGAAGAATGTCTCACCGATTGCTCCTGCGAGCTTTGGCCCAAAAAAGGAGGGGCTAGGCTTTGGGCGCTGCTCACTGGTATGACCACAATGTGACTACATGAAGAATGAGCACATGGAAGCCTATATTATCCTATATTTTGGATTATTTTGGTGGCATGTCGCGGTTGAGATCAGTTGAGTAGTTAAGTTCTTTCGGTTTGCTCCCAAAGAGATGCCAGATTACAGAGTGATGTAATCGTAAAAACCGAAGGTTGGTAGATGTTGGTAGGGCTTCAGATCTCCATGGACCATTTTCAGCACCATCCCACGGTGGCGGAAGCTGTGGTTGGTGGAGTGGGTCTGCAACATGCTGATACTCTGAGTAAGTGATACGGATAGGAAGCTCTCTCTCTCTCTCTCTATTTATATATATATACATAATACATATATATATATATATATATATGTGTGACATATATATATATATATATGACATTTATATATATATGACATATATATATATGACATATATATATATATATGTATATGACATATATATATATATATATGACATATATATATATGATATATATATATAATATATACATATGATATATATATATATATACATACATATGTATTGTATAAAGGCACGCTTCATATTGAGTAACCAATGTTGCACATCCAAGGACATTTTTCTACGACAGTTGTTCCACCTGTCCTTAATGAACATCTAGCCTGGCAATCGGCACTCCTATTTGCATGGGCTGGTAGACAGAGAATGACAGAGAAATAGATGATCGATGATCTATCATTATCTAAGATTTTCCATTGATTTATCTAATAGATGATCTCTATCTAATTATCTAATATCTATCATTATCTGTTCCTCTTAAGATCTAAGATGTGTTCCATGGATTTTTCATGTCAAATTGGATTGCCGGAATGTCCCCTTTGGATCAGCAGGCTGGTGCGGCCTATGTGAAGTTGGCCGAATGGCTGGAGAATGCCTTGACAGCGCGAGAGAATCGACATTTGCAGAGCGCCGCCGAGGCGGAGAAATGGGCGGATTTACCAGCATGCGAATGTATATAATGGGATGTAATTGATGGGATACAATGGTATATAACTTACCAACTAAGTATAATGGGATACAGTATAATGGGATTTCAATTATATCCCATTATATAATGGGATATAATGGTGTATAATGGGATTTATATGCCATATAAGGTGATGATACAATGATATAACTTACCAACTTGATACTGGTAGTTGGGTATGTCAATGGGGTATGACCTCTGGTCATCAAACATGGTTTGATTCCTGGGGGGCAATAAGGTGGGGTCATGGTACACGAGATCCAATGGTTAAACATGATCCCCCATGAACATGTGGTACTGCAATGTACTGCATGCTTCTTATGTGTATCTAATCATGGATGTGCTTTCCATAAGGTATTGATTAATCAGCCTAAGATATGTGTGGGTCATATCTGGGGCCATGGACGCCATGGCCTGGATATAGGAACTCCCGGCGCAGGAGGTGGGCCTGGAGGAGAAGAACCTGCGGCCCCGCGAAGCGCGGCAACGGGCGGCCGAGACCTTCCTGGAGATCGAAGACTTCGGACAGGCGGGGCCGTTGGCGAAGGTGGCTTGCAACTGGATGAACTAGGGTTTATGGTGGGTTTATGGTGGGTTTATGGTAGATGGATTATAGATGGATCTATTGTGAATGGGATTCATGAACCAAGTGGGGGAAACCACCCTGCCGGAATGGGTTTTTGGTGTTTTTCCTCTCAGCATCTCTGAGCCATGGAACTCTCAGCCACGGAACAAACAAGCACGGCTTGATTTAGCTGAGGATATTCCATAATATTCCATGTATCATGACCTTGGCCCAAGGTTATACTATATTGATCTATATTGTTTTATGATGTTTTATTCCCATGTTGGGAACTGGGACGCTGTCAGAAAGTTTGAAAACCTCTTGGGCCAGTTTCAGCGTCGGGCGCAGGCAGGGCGTGAGTTTGAAGCTGCGGGTTGCTTCAAAGATGCTGCGGAGTGCGCTGAAGTGTCTCGCCAGAACAAAGCCATTATCTGGGTGGTGGTTTGGAACATTTTTTATGACTTTCCATATATAGGGAATAGTAATCCCAACTGACTTTCATATTTTTCAGAGGGGTTGAAACCACCAACCAGCATTGTTGTGTGGGTTTATGGGGCATCCGGGATATTGGCCAGCAACCAAGCTCGTATGGGATATGTGGGTCCAAAATTCAATGATTGGTGTATAGACTTTCATGAATCAGTGCTCTCCGCCGCACATGCGTGCGAAGGTTGTTTGGGAGGTATGGGGTGCATCCGCTTCCAGAAATATGTAATTTTGGGGTTTCGCATGGCCCACTTCCGGCTCCTGGTGTATTAAGAATAGACCCAAGTTGGTGGCTCGAACTAGGTAGCGAGCAGCCAGGGTTTGCAAGTCTGCAGGTTGGGGTAGTTTAATACTATATTATTTTATAAAGTATATACACACTCGACTCGACTCAAGCTAGGTACTACTCTAGTACTACTTGTCTACTTGTGACTTGTGATTCTGAAATATTTTCTTAGTTGGTTTTTCTCTGTTGGGGAGTTCTTGGAACACAGAAATTTGAAAACTACAGAGCCAGAGCCTGAGCCAAAGACATATTTACTAACGACAACGCAGTATGGAGACTTTGAACACTCAAGTAAGTATGGATTTTTGTTGTCAGCATCGTTGTTTTCAGAGAAACAAATTTGTTTGAATTTGATGAGTTTAGGGTATTCTCCAAACACAAACTCTGAGGAGTTTTGACAGTTTTGATAGCTTTTTTCATTTGCAAAAACAACAACAATACAATCTTGCAGGCCACATATATGCTTGTAGATTTTGGCAACAGAGATTGGAAAACTCTCCCTCCCGACTTGACTCCCAACTATATAATTGTTTTCGTGTAGCAAAATTTTGTTCTCGAGAAACCCTTACGACTTTTTGAACCCAAACGGGACTCAATCTCAATCTCTGAGTTTTGTTTTTTCCGTGTCCATGGTTTTCAGAAGAAAATGAGTTTGGACCTGGACATTGGAGATCTTCAGAACCTCTGAGCCTCTGAGTTGGTTGTTTTTTTCTCCAGTTCATTTTTTTCAGGAACAAATGAGTTTGGAGATTTTGCACCTGAGTTTGGAGAATTCTCCAAACTCTTTTTTTTTAAATGAACTTTTTGAGAATTTTCCAAATGCATTTTTAGAAAAAAATCTGAGATTTTTTTCTTTTGATTCTGAGTTTGGAGAATTCTCCAAACTCAACTCTTGAGTTTGGAAAATTCTCCAAACTCAGAAAAAAAATCTTTTGAATCTGAGTTTGGAGAATTCTCCAAACTCAGCACTTGAATTTGGAGAATTCTCCAAACTCATTTTGGTCTTTGAAAAATAAACATGTTTTCGGATTTTGTTTCTTTTGAATCTGAGTTCGGGGAAATCTCCAAACTCAACCCTTGAGTTTGGAGAATTCTCCAAACTCAACCTCTGAGTGTGTGTATTTTTTAAATTTCGTTTTTTTTTCGAAAAAAATGAGTTTGGGAATTTTGAACCTGAGTTTGGAGAATTCTCCAAACTCAACCTCTGAGTGTGTGTATTTTTTAAATTTCGTTTTTTTTTTCGAAAAAAATGAGTTTGGAGATTTTGAACCTGAGTTTGGAGAAAATCTCCAAACTCAACCCTTGAGTTTGGAGAAAATCTCCAAACTCAACCCTTGAGTTTGGAGAATTCTCCAAACTCAGAAAAATAAATCTTTTGAATCTGAGTTTGGAGAATTCTCCAAACTCAGCACTTGAGTTTGGAGAATTCTCCAAACTCATTTTGGTTTTTGAAAAAAAACATGTTTTCGGGATTTTGTTTCTTTTGAATCTGAGTTCGGGGAAATCTCCAAACTCAACCCTTGAGTTTGGAGAATTCTCCAAACTCAACCTCTGAGTGTGTGTATTTTTTAAATTTCGATTTTTTTTTCGAAAAAATGAGTTTGGAGATTTTGAACCTGAGTTTGGAGAAAATATCCAAACTCAAAAAAAAATATGCGTGCGAAGCTTTTTTTTGATACAAAAAACACCCTCTGCACGCATATTTTGTTACCAAAAAAACCTTCGCACGCATTTTTTTTTTGAGTTTGGAGATTTTCTCCAAACTCAGGTTCAAAATCTCCAAACTCATTTTTTTCGAAAAAAAAATCGAAATTTAAAAAATACACACACTCAGAGGTTGAGTTTGGAGAATTCTCCAAACTCAAGGGTTGAGTTTGGAGATTTCCCCGAACTCAGATTCAAAAGAAACAAAATCCCGAAAAACATGTTTTTTTTTTTTAAACCAAAATGAGTTTGGAGAATTCTCCAAACTCAAGTGCCGAGTTTGGAGAATTCTCCAAACTCGGATTCAAAAGATTTTTTTTCGTTTGGAGATTTCTCCAAACTCAAGGGTTGAGTTTGGAGATTTTCTCCAAACTCAGGTTCAAAATCTCCAAACTCATTTTTTTCGAAAAAAAATCGAAATTTAAAAAATACACACACTCAGAGGTTGAGTTTGGAGAATTCTCCAAACTCAAGGGTTGAGTTTGGAGATTTAGCGAAACTCAGGTTCAAAAGAAACAAAATCCCGAAAACATGTTTTTTTTCAAAAACCAAAATGAGTTTGGAGAATTCTCCAAACTCAAGTGCTGAGTTTGGAGAATTCTCCAAACTCAGATTCAAAAGATTTTTTTCTCCAAACTCAAGGGTTGAGTTTGGAGATTTTCTCCAAACTCAAGGGTTGAGTTTGGAGATTTTCTCCAAACTCAAGTTCAAAATCTCCAAACTCATTTTTTTCAAAAAAAAATCGAAATTTAAAAAATACACACACTCAGAGGTTGAGTTTGGAGATTTCCCCGAACTCAGATTCAAAAGAAACAAAATCCCGAAAACATGTTTTTTTTCAAAAACCAAAATGAGTTTGGAGAATTCTCCAAACTCAAGTGCTGAGTTTGGAGAATTCTCCAAACTCAGATTCAAAAGAATTTTTTTCTGAGTTTGGAGAACTCTCCAAACTCAAGAGTCGAGTTTGGAGAATTCTCCAAACACAAGGGTTGAGTTTGGAGAATTCTCCAAACTCAAGTTCGAAATCTCCAAATTCATTTTTTTCTGCAAAACAATGAATTGAAAAAAATCCAAAACTCAGAGGTTGAGTTTGGAGAATTCTCCAAACTCAGATTCAAAAGAAAGATTTCTCTGACTTTGGAGAAATCTCCAAACTCAAGGGTTGAGTTTGGAGAATTCTCCAAATTCCGGTTCAAAATCTCCAAACTCATTCGTTTCTCAAAAAAATCCAAACTCAGAGGTTGAGTTTGGAGTATTCTCCAAACTCAATGGTTGAGAATTCTCCAAACTCAGGCTTTTTTCAAAAACACCCGCAACCCTAAACCCTAAACTCTATGGTCAAAGGCCAGCAGCCTGGAATTAGGACTTTAACTTCAGTTTGAATTAGTTTCTTTAGGTTCAAGTTCTGCTGCTTTTTTCAAACACCCCCGTAACGGCCCGTAACCCTAAACCCTAAATTCCCTGGCAAAACGCCAGCAGCCTGGAATTTAGGACTTTAACTTTTAGTTAAAGTTAGTTGCTTTGGTATTTAGGTTCAAGTTCTGCTGTATTGAATATTGAATAGATTAATATTGAATATTGAATATTGATGAATATTGTATAAAACAAGGACTCAGGCTGACTCAGGGCCGATGTTTTTCAGTGGAGTCTAAACTAATGCTTTGACTGACGGGTTTTTGGTTAAATGTTTGCAGGAAACCCGTGAAAACTGACACGCTTGCACGCATATTCAAGTAGTTCCCCGGGTGATTCGCGAAAGTTAACAGATTGGTGGAGATGTTTTTTCCTAGGCAGGTCATCCATTTTCCATCGGGGATGGGCCATCATTTTCTAAGGCTGCAATGTTTGGGGCACATGGCCCACCCAAAAAAGGACAGTGAACTCCTACCAAAGTAGTGGTAAATTAAACCTTGTCTATCTTCTTGGGGGTGACTCTAACGGAAAAACATGGGAAAGATCAGCAACAGCAATACCATCGATCAATGGGTGACATCAGCACCGAGCACAAGACACCGACAAACAGGTGCAAGAGAAGTGGGAGAAAGCGGGTGACTTGTGGCGCAAAGCGGAAGAGGCTTGCCGTGCACTGTGGAACTCTTAAACAAAAACGGGTGGTGTTGATGATAATATTATTGATGATTATGATGATGATGATTATGATGATGAGGATGAGGATGAGTGGCAAGCATTGATGACTTTTGATGGCCATGCTTCGTGTATACCATTATCGCTTGAAATTCTAATGACCTCACTGCGACGTCACGCTTCAGTGATGGTGAATGATTTCGTTTAGTGAATTATTGCACTATATTATATTATGTAAATATGTGTAGTTCATCCGGATGAATGACATTGGGTTCTGTACCGATGATCTTTTAGTTCATCCTAACCTACTATATAGGTACTGTATGTAATTAATGTATGTGATTAATTAATCCAGATTAGATAGTGACCGCTAGGTATCAATCCCATTCAAATCGCTATTCAATACCATTAGGTCCCATTCAATTACCATTCAATCATCATCAAATCCCACCAAAATCACCATTACGGTAATTCCCATGAAAGCACCATTAAATTCATGTAAATCCCAATTCTTTGATGCTTCGCCTGCTGGATTTTTCCTCCAGGGGAGGCCCTGGGCAGCTGTCTTGGTACAGGCCTTCTTGGCGCTGAAGAGCTTTCAACGCGGAGAAATCTGGGGGAAGTTTGCAGCTCGGTGACCATCGATTGGTGTTTGATGGATGACGTGGTGATTGGATGGGAAAAAAGGGGTGATTGTTCATTGATGGTGATGGTGAATAGTGGTGGAATGGGAATTTTTATCGGAGTTTTATGTTTTTTTTCTCCTTCTGGTGATTCCATGGGATTGTTGATCGGATTGGATGTGATTTACTGGGATTGAAAGGTGGGAAAAAACCATGGTATACCAACATGGCCAATCCAACATGGCGGGAAAAACATCGATGAACATTCGATGGAAAAATCCCAGCCATGTTGGACTACCGGCTAGTAGGGTATGAATAGATGTGAACGAGATGTCACCATATAGAACATGTCACACAGAAATTCATCCGCAATTTGGGTTTGGCAACCAGAGAAAAGATGACATAATCCCCATTGCATTCGGATTTTGACAGCACATAGAGTCTTTAAGTTTTGCAAAACAGATGTAAACCCGTTGGTGAGTTAAATAGTACACATTGTGGAGAAACACAACCTATATACCTCACTTTAGAGTTGAATCAACTAGAATGTGCACCATTTTGCGTGATAGAGGTGTTTGTTTTCAGTGTTAGACAAACAGACTCCTCACTTTCTGCACGCACCAGTTGTCATGATTATTTAAGGCAATCAGTTTTATATGTTCTCTTCGGAATGTCGTCTCACCAAAATACACTCCAAAACCCAGAAGTAAAAGACTGACATTACCAAAAGAACTAGGACATCAATTTCTATCTTTTTGGAGGCAGTTGAAGTGTGGTGTCTAAAATGAGTTGCTTTTCTTAGCGGCTTGAGCCACCACTTTTCCACGGTGAATTGATGGTTTTCCGAGGTGGAAGTGGCACAAGGGCTTGGGGATCAGAAGCTTCCAACGCCGCACGGCTGGATGGGTGGAGCCAGCGGGGTTGCTGGAAGCTATCAGGAACCCTGCTCTGGGTATGGGTACCTGATCATATATTGTTCTTGAGCGCTCAGGATGATCCCTGAATTGAGAATCTACATGTTTGTAGATGAGTCAGTTCACTCCCTATCACCACCGAGACTTGGGATGTGGTTCAACAATTTCCTCACCATTGATGACCCCACCCAGGGATGCTATTTGGCTATAGGTCAATTTTATGGGTCAAATTGGCCCATAGCTGTTCATCCACCCTAGCGAAATAAGTATTTACTCATCCCGCATCCCTATTTTATCTGAATTTTGGATTTGGGAAGTCTAATCATGTTCTAATTGATGTACCCTAGGGTAAACTACCAGTTTCCTATTGAAAATGACCATTTAGTTGGTTGATTAACCTGAAAACAATGGTGATTTTCCATAGCAATTTGCGTGTTTACCAGAGGCTACCCTCCAGCATCGCTTTTAGTTGCCTTGCTGAGGGAAGTGATGGATCTTGTTGAACTGGCGTGCCGCGATTTGGCCAAGAAGTGCCAGAAACAGAAGCAGCAGAAGGATGTTGGAGATGAACATGGCGGGTGAACCTTTGGTAAACTAACACACACACACACTATGGCAAATCACCCATCTTTAGTAGGTAAATCATCTACATTCATCTACAAATGCGCATTTGCTGGAGGTGTTTATGAAAAAAACAACTACGGTTGGTGGGGTCCCGGCACTGGGGGTTGGCCGAATCGCGTAGATGAAGGGCCACGGATCATCTAGCCAAACTCTGAAGGTGATTTTTTGAGCATGTCTTTAAACAAAAATGCATTTACTACTGCCCATAATCAGGTTGTTGCTGTAGCTTTGCACTTGACAGCGGTGCAACCATTTTTCCCCGAAAGGTCTGTGGAAACATGTTCCCCATTCGTTAAGGAGTTTTAGTTTTAATGTTCTCTTTCGGCGGCCCTTCTGTAGTTGAACCTCGCACAGGCAATTCATTGTTTTGGTTGCTACTTCAACAATTTGATGCTGTTCACCTTCATTGCTGTATTTCATTGTATTTCCAGGAGGGTTGAACCGTGTAAAAGCATGAAGTTTTGATGGTAAAACCATGTAAAACCTCCTGCCTTCTGCTGCCCTGGCCATGACTCAAGGAGTCCAACATGTTCAAAGCCTTGAAGCAATGCATCAGCCTGCTACCGCAGGAGGACCATACTTGGAACTATGTGGAGATATGTGGAGGGCTTGTGGCTTACAGAGTTGTTTCGTTATAGCCCCTAAAACTTGGGAGCTAACACAACCAACATCAACCATCACCCAAAACATGCTTTCCAATTTGTATCCATTTTAAAGAGTTTTGAAGGTCCTACTTTCATATTTTGGCGTGTTCATCGTGTTGCGGGTTCTTCAAGTAAGAGCGTGAAGGTGCTGGAAAATCAAGGTGGCTTCGGGTGATGTTGGGTTGACTGCTTCAGATGGCTTCGTAGCTGTTTGGACCCATTCTGGAATGAGTGCTGTCTATGAGTCCAGGATGTGATGTTTTGGGATAGATAGCCCAAAAAACACAACCTGTGAATCCCGCGTGTCCATTCTGTGGCTACGCACTGATTATCCGTGCGCATATTCCACTATTGACATCTATTGACTTATTGTTGATGATGTTCCTCTATTTATGGCTCAATCGCACATGGTGGTGGCGTTCGTTACAGTGTCCAGCTGCTACAGTGTTAAATCGCACACGGTTGCCCCAGGTCAAATCTCTGCTCTTGTTCTTTGCTCACTTGCTGGCAACAATTGGCAACATGTTTTTTTTTCCCTTTTCTGGGCTGTATATCCATGCAGTTTAACAGCGGGTTGACCTAAACAAGAATGTTCTCAATACAAGCCAACTCCACATATTGTAATGTATGTAGAATGAACATGTGAAAGAAACATCAGGAGCAAATTCGTATTCCAAACCCTCTTGCTCTCAGATTTCCATTCTCTAGAGACTGCTGACATCACCATCAAATGGGCATCCGTGGGATTTCTCAGAATCTTGATCCGTGGTCATCCTTTTCCTCGACTGTATACCTATCACATGAATAACTATAATTCGGGAGGAACACAGGCAAAGTATATGGGCTCTCAGTTCATCATTCTACAGGGATCTACAGGGTATTTCTATGTATTTCACCAAAATTTCTATACTGGAACATTTTTCAGAACACGTTGCTCAACGGCCCTGATGGATATATATATATACACATGAAACTCATGCATGACTAAGTTGAGATGAAGTAACTAGTCAAGTTGAAGATAGAATCTGGAGGCTCAAAGCAACTTTTTTTTGGGCCTACGAGTCTACATGAACTTTCGTGTGGCTCGATGTGTCACTAATTACCATTAATCCCTGCCGCGCAGGAGGAGCAGGAGCTGCTTCTACAGCAATTGGACTGGCAGGAACTCACCCTTGAGGCTCCGGAGTTCATGGTGATGAGAAACTTCAAGGCCATAGGAATATAACATGGGAAACTACCATTGATGTTTATGGTCACCCCAAAAAACATGAAGCAATGAAACCAATGTCGAAGTCATGTTTACTGCACATGATTCTTTACAACGAACTTCTGTGTTTGAAGCGGCAGAGGTGGGTGAACTAACCAAAAACATGACCAAAAATTGTGATTGAACCAACTGTTTTTTTGGGGATTATTTGGCAAACCAAAAGCACAGATTGAATCGATTTAAACAATATATATATATATATATATACATGTATTATATATATATATATAGAAGCAGGCATTTACCATGATTTACGTGTTCACATGATGGTGGTATTTTGTCAATTAACAGATCTGGCTAATATGGGCCCCCAGTGCCAGTTCCTGAGGTTCTCCCATTGCATAGTGGTACAAGTCTCGGTGGCGTCGTTGACAAGGAACTAGATGTGGACAGGTGGTTTCAAGATTGAAGACCTAGGGGCCAATATTTTTAATGCACTTTACAGTGAATATTGAGTTTATTGCTTCCCAGTTATGACCCACATGGTATAAATGTGTATCAGTGAGCTTCGGCTCAAGCGAAACTGGGAAGACGATCCACAATCTCATTCGACCAGAAGTTCCGCGACATTGGCAAATGTTCGATGGATTTCAATGAAAAAATGCAGTAAACTATGTGGTTGTTTTTATGTATGATGCTCATGGATACCCTAAATCAATGGCCATTTCAGGGACCTAAACTAGAGGTACCTACCATATTATTTATATAAGGGCTATGTAAGGGAATATCCCCGCAAAATATGGCTTTACATGGTACAGTAGCTCTATTTTAGGGTCATGAAATGACTATTGACGAAATGTCTGGAGAAACCCAGAATTGTATGAAGGGAGGAAACCATAGCAAACCTATACATACATAGATAAATGGACTTCGAAAAAGGGCTTTGAACTGTGAAATGTCCCTTGGGACATTTTGAGACCAATCCAATGAGGGTGTTGACAAGTCATTCTCGGTGCCTAAGTCACCCATTGATAGATGGTTTTCTTGATTTCCCCACATTTTGTTCCTTATAATAACCCACAAACAGATTGAACAGTCTCTTTCACCACTGTTTTCATGGCGGTTCCCAGCCATTCCCTTAGGCTTTTAGCATCTTTTCGCTTTTTTGCAGATAGTGGTAACTCATGTTATTTTAATCACTATATAGAAGTTACCCTAGGCGAAATTAACATAGATGTGGAAAACCCAATGGTTTCGGAAAGTGATCTACAAATGGTGGCTTTTCATGGCTTTTCATTGCTTTTCCATATAATTTTCCATGTTTACAGTAGGGTTTTTCTAAACGAACCACCCGCAGTGGTTCGCTGGGAACCACTTGAAGCCGCAGGTCTACCAGACCCAAAAGCGCTACGACCAATGCGCCGCCATCGCGCTCGAGATGTGCGACTGGACGAAGGCCGGGAGAAGCGTTGAAAACCCGTTGTGGGGGTGCAGGCCAGAGGTTACTTTTACCCTCTGGTAAATTACTGCTTGGTGGTTTGGAACGTGATTTTTATGACTTTCCATATATTGTGAATAATCATCCCAACTGACTTTCATATTTTTCAGAGGGGTTGAAACCACCAACCAGCTCTGGTAAAATAACATAGCTGTGGAAAATCACCATGTTTAATAGGTAAATCAACTAGTTGGCCACCAACAAATCAAGGGATATCGGTAATTTCACAGTTTGCTATGGAAGCCATGGCCATGGCCCATTTAGGGATAATGCAACTTGTTTTTTTTCCTCTCTGGCACTGTATATACAAAGATAGATACGTGAAAAGGATGTGCATGGTGGATTTACCATGACAAAAGGGAATGAACATAGGATGGGAATCTAATGAGACTTTAATGGAAATACAATGATTATAATATGTTGATATGACATGTGAAATTTGATGGGAAATTTGTTGCACATGCGATATTTGGGTGAACCTTGGTAGATAATACAATGATGTATATTGCGGTTCAGTGTTGGTAGTAATGCTCGCAGATTTGGCAGGTAAGCTGGGTACATGGGAAGGTTGCCAACAAAAAGAGACATAAACGGAGGATTTACCAAGCACACGCATGGATATGATGGAATGTAGTGCTGAAGGATAGACCAATGTCATGTGGTCTCTACTGTTGCAGTGTATCTTGGATTAGCAGCGCTGATTTAACCAAACATGTGCAACATTGTGCAACTATGTTTGCAAATTTATGGATTATACCCCGACGGTTAATAATCAAACCCAATTATGTATATATATATATAGGTAGTTAACTGGAAACTATATATAATATACACATATAATAACAATTAATAACACACATATAATAACAATTAACAACATGTCATCGAATCATCATTGCCATTTTGATATTGAACTCATGTGACATTCACCATATAGCTAAAGATGCACTCGTCAAACAAAAATTAAAGTAGCATGATATAAACTGGGTGGTGGTCTGGAACATTTTTTATTTTCCATATATTGGGGAATAATCATCCCGGTCCCAACTGACTAATATTTTTCAGAGGGGTTGAGGGGTTGAAACCACCAACCAGTATTAATAACTCATCATCAACCATCCACTAATGCTGGGTACAGCTCGCTTCAGCAGTGGGCTCAGGCGCGCTACTACTACAGTGTCTTGGATGCGAAAGACAGGGTGATTTCTGTGGCGTGAAGAGACATCCACATCATCCATGCTTATGGTTCTTAAAAGAAACGGCTAGATCTTCCATGAATTTTCTGCCATATCATGATTTACAGCAATTTTCCTATCACCAAAATTCACCTAAATGAGGTAAATTCTGGAACATATTTAGGAACAAGACCTGGAGGGCAAGCGCATCGGAACCACAATCCATGGATGATTTGGGCCATGGATACCTGGCAAGCTGGCTACCTATACTTTCGCACTTCCAAACACCCGGGAACCGGGAACTGTGATTCTCATGACATGGACCAACTGTCCGCCTTTTTCTGGGGATAGATGAGGGGTGCCAGGTGCCCTATTTCAAAACAAATTTCAAGGCATTCTCAGTTGCTGCCTCACGAGCCAAGCAATTTCAAAGCAAAGACCTCATCTTCATAAATTGAGTGAAGGAACATTCAACCGTTGCAAAAGCTGTGGCCTATGTGAACCTATTTATTTAACGGACTTGATTGCGCCACACCCTTCTGATGTATCCACAACACTCAGGTCAGGCAAATGATGTGTCTGAAGCGTGGCTTGGCTTCCATCGTTTCGCCCGACTTCGGGAATCTGCAACCCTGATGCCGACTTTTTTACGGCTACATTTTTGCAACATGTTTATTGGATAAAGCAAATATAAGCAAATAAAACACAGTGATGCATGTTCTTTAGATTCTTTCTGCATGTAAAGGTCCCATCGTATGCTGGCTTCTTGTTTCAATGCCAACATTTTCAATGTATTTTCCAGATGTTTGTACACAAAGGTCCGTAGTGTACGTTTGATTTCGTGATGAATTACCTTCCTTTAAACATTGAATACTGTAGCTTTGGAAACTTAGCCATAGATGATCTTCTTCCCAGTAAAACCACCATATCATGTCATATATAATTAAGGAAATTCCCATGTTTGACTGCCACATATTAGCCATTATTAACCACGATTAACCACTCATTCTTTAACCGCAGGCACTGGTTGGAGCTGATCGAAGCCCTGTGGAAGTTGCTTCATGGAGGAGACGATGGGTTTGTGTTGCGGTTCCCAAAGTGGATCAACATGTACCATCTGGTAATGACTAACAGTTTGCTATTGAAAATGGCCATTTATAGTTGATTTACCAATTATGTAAACATGGTGATTTTCCATAGTTATGTTAGTTTACCAGAGGGTAAGGACATGATATAGCATATTGATGCATATATTGGGATTTGGGGGCAGGTATTTCTACAATGTTCTGCAATTGGGTTTATAAACCAACTTACGTAGCTGGCGGGCTACTGGTTGGTGGAGGTCGACTTTTGCCCCCGCCCACATAAGATGATTCTCAGTGGCTTCGTAGTTTTGGGATGTAGATTTCACTGTTCCACGCTGGCCGTGCTGAAGATGTGCAGCTGTTCACTCTTGAAAGTCCCCTTTGCGAATCAAACCTAACCGGGTAACAGATCACCGCCCATTTGTACAATTTTGTAGCTCCATTCATAGATAATACCATCAATATGGCCGCCCAAAATGAGTTTCTCCAATAATTACTGATACTAAACCAGGGTTTTGATTGGGTGGTATTCAAGATTAGAGGGGAAGAGATGATTACAATTTAATGTTCACAGCCAGCCATGTAGATCTCAACTGCGAGGTGTTGTACCTGCTGCCATGGAAGAAACATTTCAAAAGCTTTTCTCTGAGGCAGGGAAAGGCTGAACGGCCCAAATGCTTGGTTCGATTTGATAAACTTGATTTACATCTAGGCGAACGAGGATTTATAGTTTATCTATCAATCTATCAATCTATCTATCTATCTATCTATTGATCGTTCTATCTATCTATCGATCTATCTATCGATCTATCTATCCTATATATCCTATCTAATCTATCTAATCTATCTATCCTATCTATCCTATCTATCTATCCTATCTATCTATCCTATCTATCTATCCTATCTATCTATCCTATCTATCTATCTATCCTATCTATCTATCCTATCTATCTATCCTATCTATCTATCTATCTATCTATCATATCCTATCCTATCCTATCCTATCCTATCCTATCCTATCTATCCTATCTATCTATCTATCTATCTATCTCTCTTTCTATCTTTCCATCTTTCCATCTTTCCATCTATCTATCTATCGATCTATTTGTCGATCTATCTATCTATCTACCTATCTATCCTATCTATCCTCTCTATCCTATCTATCCTATCTATCCTATCTATCCTATCTATCCTATCTATCCTATCCTATCCTATCCTATCCTATCCTATCCTATCCTATCTATCTATCGATCGATCTATCTATCTATCTATCTATCTATTTATCTATCTATCTATCTATCTATCTATCCAATCTATCTATTATCTATCGATCTATCGATCTATCTATCTATCTACCTATCTATCCTATCTATCCTATCTATCCTATCTATCCTATCTATCCTATCTATCCTATCGATCCTATCGATCCTATCGATCCTATCGATCCTATCGATCCTATCGATCCTATCTATCCTATCTATCCTATCTATCCTATCTATCCTATCCTATCCTATCCTATCCTATCTATCTATCGACCGATCTATCTATATTTCTATCTATCTATTTATCTATCTATCTATCTATTTATCTATCTTATCTGTCTGATCTATCTGATCTATCGTATCTATCTTTTCTATCTTATCTTATCTATCTTATATATATTATCTTATCTATCTTATATGTCTATCTTATCTATATTATCTTATCTATCTATCTTATATTATCTATTTTATCTTATCTATCTTATCTATCCTATCCTATCCTATCCTACCTTATCTATCTTATCTATCTTATCTTATATATCTTGTCTTATCTTATCTATATCTTATCTATATCTTATCTATATCTTATCTCTATCTAATCTCTATCTAATCTCTATCTAATCTCTATCTAATCTCTATCTAATCTCTATCTAATCTCTATCTAATCTCTATCTAATCTCTATCTAATCTCTATCTTATCTCTATCTTAACTCTATCTAATCTCTATCTAATCTCTATCTAATCTCTATCTAATCTCTATCTAATCTATCTCTAATCTATCTCTAATCTATCTCGAATCTATCTGTAATCTATCTCTAATCTATCTCTAATCTATCTCGAATCTATCTGTAATCTATCTCTAATCTATCTCTAATCTATCTCGAATCTATCTCTAATCTATCTCTAATCTATCCCTAATCTATCTCTGATCTATCTCTGATCTATCTCTGATCTACCTCTAATCTACCTCTAATCTACCTCTAATCTACCTCTGATCTATCTCTGATCTATCTCTGATCTATCTCTAATCTATCTCTAATCTATCTAATCTATCCTATCTATCCTATCTATCCTGTCGATCCTATCGATCTATCGATCTATCGATCTATCGATCTATCGATCTATCGATCTATCGATCTATCTATCCTATCCTATCTATCCTATCTATCCTATCTATCCTATCTATCTATCTATCCTATCTATCCTATCTATCCTATCTATCTATCTATCCTATCTATCTATCTCTATCTATCTATCTATCCTATCTATCCTATCTATCCTATCTATCCTATCTATCCTATCTATCCTATCTATCCTATCTATCCTATCTATCCTATCTATCCTATCTATCCTATCTATCCTATCTATCCTAGTCTATCCTGTCTATCCTGTCTATCCTATCTATCCTATCGATCCTATCGATCCTATCGATCCTATCGATCCTATCGATCCTATCGATCCTATCGATCCTATCGATCCTATCGATCCTATCGATCCTATCGATCCTATCGATCCTATCGATCCTATCGATCCTATCGATCCTATCGATCCTATCGATCCTATCGATCCTATCGATCCTATCGATCCTATCCTATCTATCCTATCTATCCTATCTATCCTATCTATCCTATCTATCCTATCTATCCTATCTATCCTATCTATCCTATCCTATCCTATCCTATCCTATCCATCGATCTATCGATCTATCTATCTATCTATCGATCTATCTATCTATCTATCAATCTATCTATTTGATCTATCGATCTATCTATCTATCTACAGGTGGTGCCGGAATTATAGAACGGAAGTTGAGGAGTACGAAGGTACGGTTATTTACCGTACCCTGTTGTTCTATAATTCTGTTTTCCTCGGAAGGTGTGAAAAAAAAAACGTATCTGAATTTACTCCTAACTTTTGTCGTCGTTCTATAATTCTTGTCGGAGCGCTGCTGTTCTATAATTCTGTTTTCCCCCATTTTTCTCACTTTTCCCATTTTATAGAACGTTCTATACTAGAATGTTTCCCGGGCCCCGTTCTATAATTAATTTTTCCGTCGAACGGAAAAATTAATTATAGAACGGAAAAATTATATTATAGAATTATAGAGCCTCTTCCGGGGTCCCAGAAATCCTTTAAAATCACCATGAAATCTAAGAAAATCACCGTGAAATCCCATAAAATTACCATGAAATCCCATAAAATCACCATGAAATCTTATAAAATCACCATGAAATCTAAGAAAATCACCTGGTAAATGTGGGAAAAATGGGGGAAAACAGAATCCCCGTTCTATAATTAAATTTCCCGACTCCGCGCGGAATCGGAACCCGGAGGAGTACAAAGGTACGGTATTTTACCGTACTTTTGTCAAATTTGTACTCCTGGCTCCGTTCTATAATTCTGGCACCCCCTGTATCTATCTATCTATCTATCCATCCATCCATCTATCTATCTATCTATCTATCTATCTATCTTATTTATCTATCTATCTACCTATCTATCTATCTATCTATCTATCTATCTATCTAATAGTTGGATAGTGTTTCAAGTCAACTTAGATCTTGGGGCCACACCTTTAAATAATTTAGAACAGATATATTTATATGATATATAAGGGGCTTCATCCCAGGTCTTGGTTATTCACAAGGGGGGTTGAGCCCAAATGCCCCATGGTGCTGGAATATAATTTTAGTTGCCAAATGTTGCCAACATTTTCCCCAAAATTCCCCAAACATGACAGGTTAATGTCAAACATGGAGCATGTGGGATAGGTAACAGGTATGGTTATGGCATATTGAACGGCATATTCGCTCTGAGCGTTTCAGTTCAAGAGTTGGATGGATTTAATCATGATGCGTTTTCGGTTGGGCCGGGCTTCACTTTGGGGAGCTGAATGGATTTGATCAAGTGAGTCTTTTTGGGGGGTGGGGGATGGGTCCATTCATACGTCCACGATGGTGGAGCCGTCCCGTTTGTTTTCCAGAGATTTCTATGCTGAATGGCCTGACTCATCTTATCTTGGGTGCCAGCATGAGGATGAGATGAAAAGGCTGGCCAAGGTGGAAGATGCCAAATCTTCAAGCAAGAAGGCCTGCTGACTGGGACAGAAGAAAGGTTGGGGTAGCTGTTCAACAGGCAATTTATGGATAACCCTGGATTTGCTGGGCTAAGAATGAATGTTTTAGAAGTCCATCCTCAAGATTCAAGATGCATTTTTTTCCGTGGCTTGAGACCATGTCCAACGGTGGATTCGTATGAGACACAGCAGATCAAAAAGGATTCGGCACTATCCAACCTCCAGACCCTACAAACATTCTGAGATCATGTGGGCTTGCCTGAACATAACATCCCAAACTATCCCAAACTCCCATGGTTTAAATTTAAAGGTGAAACCCCATTTTCCCCGTTTAAATGCCATAAATTAATACCACACACATGTCGTTTTTGTTGAGCCACCAGGCAAATTAGAGGCAGTTCCACTGTTCACTGCCAGGAGGGGCTGAAGCGGAAGCACATCGCACAGACCTTGCGGCATTTGCACGAGGCATCGAAGCAGCAGAACACCATCGAAGGCATTGCTAAACGCGTCTTGGTGGAAAAATATCGCAATATGGCTCATCTCACCCATGGAATACGGACCATATTTTGTGGAAGGACGGGAGAGAGTTCACTAAATGACGCTGTGTGATATACGTGTGTATATATTATATGCGTGTGTATTTGTTGATGTTGGGTTTTAGAAACATGGTATGAGCTGCATATGTTTGATTAGTGAAATGATTTGACGATATTTTATGTGGACATTAGAATAAACATTATAATGACCCACAAAACTTAGAAGCAAACCCGGGGCAAACAATCGAGGCGGCAGTCTGTTGCGTGACGCATATAGCGCCGCTCTGCAGCTGAAGGAGCCGAACAAATCACGGAGAGGTCATCGTGGCAACAGGAAATCCCCCATTAAATGGAGGTTTTAATGGTAAGATCATCTACAAATGCTGGATGTTCCCTTGCCAGGTTTAATGACGGGGGGGGTACCCGGGGTACCTATGAACAAAAATGAAACATAGGAATTTCCTTTACTAGCGTAGACCCATGATGAATAAGAAATAAGTCGATCGAAAGAAACTGCTGATTGATTGGGATTCTGGTAAGCGGACGGAGGAAGGCAATCAGCCACTAAATAGAGATTTATATAGCCAACTGGTCGGTGGAAGTGTTTTTTCTCCTGGCCTGGTAGGATGCTATGCAATTGGCCATGATTCTTGTAGCAGACCGTGAGCATCACCCACTTTTGGGCAATGCTGGAAAATGGTGACCGAACAGAACCTACAAACTGTCGAGTCAAATAGACAAATCTTCAGGATATCTCTATGTATCCGAAACTTGTGGAAACCCTGATAAGGAAAATGATGATAAACCATGATAAACCATCGAAAGCGGGTTGGTTTATTTTCAGATGAACCCTTATGGTGTCAAAAGATGTCAAAATCCATCCAGACTGTCACTAAGTTGAGGGATTCATTGGATAAACTGTTGAATTTGCAGCCAGAACTAGTAAATCCAACATCGGGCCAGCGCCACATGCACTGCTAATAATAGCTGCTAATATTTGAGGCTGAGATTTAGGAAGCCCTTATTATCTTACAAGGGCCCTTCGGGCATGTATATGTCATGTATATGTACATATGTTATGACATTACTGATATCACTGGATATTATATATTCAGGTGGCAAGAGTCATGATATCCATGGTTTTCCGCTTGCTTCTCCTTGAAATCAACAGCCTGATCAACCCAATGAGTTCCTAACTTGATGACATGCCAATTGTGGGTTTGTGTTGGGCTGATTTTTACAGTATCAGCCATGATTTCCTCTTTTCTTCTTAGGGGGCCGGGCGAGAGAACAACAACATTCTGTCATCCATTCTTCCCCCTTTTAACATCCTTTCACTAAGAAATTCACATAGTTTAAGTACCATTTTCATTGAAAACTCTCCTGAATTTCTTCTCCCTATTCAACCAACAAAAATTCCCTAGGAACCAGAGGTCCATCGCATCTCCAGGAGTCATGTCCAGGTTATGCACTGCGTTTGACGTCCTTCACCTTGATGGCCATGGCGCAGAACTTCACACAACTCCGTGCCACGGGCCGCGATAAGTCGAAACCCTACGGTACCCGGATGGTACCCCAAAATAATAGGTTTTGACCAATTCCTATGTAGCTTTGAAATGGCTTATCTATGTGTTCCTGGTCAGCGAAGTCTAGATCTACTTCTAGAAAACAAGGACATACAAGGACATATGATCGATTTTCATAGATTTCCATGGGGGTTGACTCATTTTTTCATCGATTTCCATCTGCCATCCACGTGTCGTGGTGCATCGAGGCACCAAGGAGGCCCGTCACTTCGATCTGATCTGCGAGGGTTTCGCCAAATCTTTGGCCGAGATCAAAGAGATGAGGAGATCTCGGAGTTCCGGGGCCTTTAGGTGAAAACTTCAGGAACTTCAGGTGGAAAGTGATTTACCCTCTGGTAAACTAACATAGCTATGGAAAATCACCATTTTTAATGGGAAAATCTACTATAAATGGTCATAAATGGTCATTTTCAATAGCTATTTTGACATAACCAGAGGGTAAACATGGTTGGTTAGACCATCAAACTTCACTAACACAAGGTGGCATCCCATGAAATCCACCACTTAAATCATCAATACCCTCTGGTAATTTAACATAGCTATTGAAAATGACCATTTATTGTGGATTTTCCCATTAAAAATGGTGATTTTCAATAGCTATGTTAAATTACCAGAGGGTAACCAACCATTTCATGTTTTGTTGCACGAGGGGCTGACTATTGAGCTCAATGTTCAGCCGTCCAGCGACGCGGTGAAAAGAGGTCAGACAGAAACTGCCTAGCTGCGGAAAATCAATCAAAAGCAAACAAGGAGACGCACAGCTTTATGGGGACTTGATAAAATAGGAAAAATGATATATGACCGTGACCTATCAGCAATATGATACATGATAAAAAGTTCTGTTGGTTTTCAGGCTGTCCAATATGTGTCCAATAAATGTGGGTCACCCAACCATTTTCTGGGGATGGGTTTGAATGGGATAATTCATGGGATGTAACATGATGTAATCAATCAACTTGATATGATAACACTGCGGTATAATTACCCCAGTGATGGCAATCTGATAACATGACGATCAACCAGTGGGTTGGGGATGGGGGGAAATCCATATGGTATTGCAACAATGAAGAATCTCATGCAATCTCTGATTTCACCAGAAATGGATAGACATGGTTGGTATACACCCTGCATTGGAAGAGGTAGGGCCCAAGTGATAAGCATGTTGTTATGCACAAGATGTGCTTCAGCCCAAGTCTAACTACCCTAGGGAAATACATATATATATATATATATGTGTACGTATATATGTGCGTGTGTGGGTGTATGTGTCAATAAATATCAATAAATGTACATAGTAAGTAAACATAGTATATGTGGCTAATTATATGTCTGTAGTTGTGCAAACAGGTCTCATTCCCTGAGCCAGCCATGGTTATGAACCCGATAGCATTTGGGATGCACATCACACTGTGCCAGGAGCACCTGGAACAGACGGGGCAGATCGCACAACTACAAAGATACTCGCAATGATCGATTGCGACTTGCGGTCCAGT